GTAGTAACGTAAGGATCGTATATAAATCTTAAAAATATAATAATAAATATAAAGTAATTTATAGATCTTAAAAAAATCTTTTTAAAAAAGAAATTATATTTTAGAGGGAAGTACGAAGTCTTATAAAAAACCCTAATAATATTTTATAATTACTATAAAAAAATCGGGATTAGGGAATATTAGTACTATTTAATAATTAATATTGTATTTATAAATAAAGCCTCTAATTATTATTACGAAGTAGTATATAATTTTAATTAGAACGACTTTTTTAGTATTATTAATATAATCCGAAACTATTTTAAGATCTATAATAAGAATCTCGAGCTCCTATTTAAACTATAAGTAATTTTTTTTATATTTATAATTAGGATAATAAAGGGTAAATTATAAGTAAAAATCCTTAAAAAGCTTATTAATTAAATTAATAAGTTAATAAAAACCTAGTTAAATAAAGGGATTAATAAGTAAAAAGTCGGATATTTTTATATTATAGTTTAGTATATATTAAAAATAAAAATAACCCTATACTAGGTATTTAAAAACTACGAAATATTTTACTTAAAGCTAAGATTTAGTTTTAATATTAAAATAAAAATACCGTACTAAACCTATTTCTAAGTATATAACGGCCCTTATTAATAATATTAAGTTAACTAGACGTATAATAAAAAAAGAAAAGAGATTAGATATAGTAATTATTAATAAAAAGGCCTAGATTTATTAAATAAGTAGAGATTTAACTTATAAATAAGGTAATAAAAAAAGTAATATTTTATTTATAAAAAAGATAAATATTAGTTAAGTAACTATTTTAAAAAGGAGCGTACTAAATTATATAAATAGTATAAAAAGTCAAGAATAGTAAATAATAAAACTAGTTTTTATTAGTTTAGTTAATTCTTTATTATATATAAGGGTAAATCTAGGGGTATAGAACTTAGTAATAGTAACTATAATAGCGGCTTAGAGTATTTACCCCCTATAAAAAATTCGGAAAATAAAAAAGATCTTGCCCCCTATACTAACGAATTAGATTATAATAAAATTAATAATATTAACTACTCCTTTTTTATATTATTAGCCTTTAGAGGATATATAAAGCTAAATAAACTAAAAATAGTAAAAGCCCTTAATAAGTAGGCTTTTATTTATAAATAATAAGGGAAGGTTTTTTAAATAGTAAATATAGAAATAGATAAAAAGATAAATTTAATAGTATAGAATTTTATTTTTTTAATACTTAAAAAAAAGATACTATTTTTATTAATATTAAAAAAAAAATAGTATTAAGTAATTCTAAGGGTAGTTAGAGGGGTCTTTTTTATATTACTTAGATTACTTAAATACTAAGCTCGTATAAGTATTCTATACGAATAAAAAGTATAACTTAGATAATTTTTATAAAATTATCCTAAATACTAAGGTATTATAATAGTTAATAAAAAAAAATATAATTCTAAGTATTATAAAAAATCGTACTAATAATACTTAATACGTTAATAATAAGTATTATAAAAATTAGTTTTAGCCTAAGTAAAAAGATCGTTACCCTAAGTACAATAAAAATAAAGACGTATTTTAGAACGATAACTTTTTATATTTTACTTATTAATACTTTATTTCTCTTATATTTAAAAAATATAAATTAACTAAGTATTATATTTAATAATACGAGGAATAGAATCTTTAATAATAATTATTTTAAAATAGTTAAATAACAATAGGGGTATATATTTATAAAGCTTATTAATAATATAAAGTTAATTAATTATTTAATAAAAAATAAGCTTAGATAATTATATTAGAGATTTAGGTACTCGTTAATTACGAGGCTATATAGCTTCTTAAAGTAATTAAGTAATAATAATATTAAAATAAGGGTATTAAAATAGTTAATAAAAGTATATTATTAATATTAAATAAATGCGCAGAGCCTATATAAATTTAAGTTTAAATTACGGAATAAGCTTAATTTTAATTAAGAAATCGTCGTCGATATTTTTTATTTAAATAGTTAACCGGTCCTATATATAATTAACGAGGCTATATTATTTTAAATAGGGCAATTCCTCTAGGATTTATAAATAAAAATAATATAAGTAGCCCTATAAAAAAGCTAGATTAATATATACTAAGGACCGCTAAATAGTATTAAAACCGACGCTAATACGAGTTTTAAATTAATAGAATTTAGGGAAAATACGATAGCTTATAATATATAGTTAAAAATCGTACTTATAGAAGCGTATTATAATATTAAAAAAGTAAAAAGGGTATATTAATAACTAAAAAGGGCGTTTAGGATTATTAAAAAAAAAATCCCGATTTTACTAACGATAAATACCTCTAAATAGTACTTAAGTACTATAATAATATTATAGGGCTTAATAAGCTTATATTAATATTATTAATATTTAGAATATATTTAAAAACGACTTTAGCCTTATTATTATTATTAATTATAAACTAACGAGCCTAAGTAATTAAAAGAATAATATAAGTACTACGCGAGGTAAGTATAAAAAAGTAAGTTAATAAAATAATTATTATATATAATAAACTTAATATAGGGGCTAATTTAAATATACCCCTAAATTTAGATATATAAGTATAGTACGAAATTACTTAATAATAAGCTAGGCTATATAAATTAATTTTTATTAACGAGCGCTCTTACGTAATTATAAAAAATCGTAACTAATTACTTAAAATATTAATTATTATAATTAGATTATATTATATAGATCTTATTAAAGTAATTTCTAACTTATAAAAAAAAAAGAGCTAAAGGAAATAAAATAACCCGTAGTAAAAGTATAAAAAATTATTTTTAATAAAATTATCATAATAATATTAATAAACGATAAGAAAAAAAAAATTACTAAAAGGGTACTAATATTACTAATAAGATATTATAAAAAATTATAATAGTAAGCCCTAATGTAATAATTTATTATTAGTAACGAGGTATTTAATACTTTTTATATAATAAAAAAAAAGCTAATTTTAAGCTAGTAGTTAAACTACGTAAAAAAAGTATTATTATAATTACTAAAAAGCCGTATAAAGGATTAGATCTTATTAAAATAAATACTTTATATAATCGAGGGGTTTATTAATTTATCCTCTACGACCCTAAGAAATATAAAAGTTTTTATATATTTAAATTATAAATAGTATATAAAATTAAGGAAAAAGGAATACCCTAACTATATAAGAAATTTAAATATATAATTTAGGGGTACGGTAATGTTAAAAAAGCGACGCTATTTATCTAATTACTTATAATATAGTACTATAACTAACGATTAATAATAATACTAATAATATTATTATAAAAAAAGGGATATGAGATTTAGAGCCGTAATATTACTTAAGCCTATACTTAATCGGCTATAGGGCTTATAAAAAAAATCCTAGCCTACTTATTAAAAGAAATAGCTAGTAAGTACTTAGAAAGTACGATTATTAAAATACTTAAATTACTATATAAGCTTATAGAATCGGGTACTTATTAATAAACTATATACTACGATTTTTATATTAATTAATTATTAATAATTATATTTATATACGACCCGTACTTATTAATTTTTAAGTATAAAAGTAAATAATTTAGAATTATTAAAATATAAACTAACGATATATTAAGCCTATTTAATATTAATTTTATAAAAAAAAAAGATAAGGAGCTTTAAAAAGCGGGCTTTATAACTAAGCTAAAAGAGGTCCTTATAATAAATAACCTATTAGTATTTAATAATAAGATTTTTATAATTAAAAAGGAAATTATTATTTTTTAATAAAAAGGGTAGGGTAAAAAGATTACCCTCGTTAACTTAAATATAATTAATATTAAAAAGTAATATAAAGCTAAGCTCGTATAAAGGGTATATATTATAAGTATATACTAGCCCGAGGTAATTTTTAACTATATTAAAATAATATAAGCTATAAATCTAGCTAAATAAGATATTAAAGTACTTAATAAGTAGCTTAAGTAATAATAAATAAATCTTAATTAAAGCCTCGTTTATTACTTAATTAACCTCGGTATTAATAAGCTCTACGTTTTTATTAATAAATTATTTATAAATAATAATAACTTTATTTCGTAATTAGAATATATTATTATCCTAACTAATAAGAATATAAGCGAGAGCGAATTTACTATATATAATAATATAATCTATTACTTATTAATTAAAAATAAATAAATAATAAAAAATATACTAATATTAAAAGTTTATAATATAATTAACGGTATTAACTTTGCCTATACGATTTTAATAATACTAAAAAAGATTATTAATTAACTTAACTTTTTATTAATCCTAATAGTTATTTATACCAATTCTTATTTATTATATAAATACTTTATTAAATTAGGAATAATAAAAGAAAAGAGGTTTATAATTGATATTATAGCCCTTAAGTAATTATATAAAAAGTACGAGATTTTTAAAATCCGTTAAATTAATAATAATAATAACCTTACTAACGCTTTTATAAAAGTAATACTTAATAAGAAGTTAAAATAATTCGTAAATAATAGAAAAGTTAATATATAAATAAAGAAATAGGTTATATAAAAAGAATAAAAAAAAAAAAAAAGACGACTTAGTAAACGGGCCCGAGGTCGAATTATACTTCTAACTATAATAAATAAATTAATAAAAAAAAGAAAAAATTAGTATTAAATTAAAAATCTAATTTAATTATAGTATATAACTAACTATATAAGGGCTAATTAGGGGCCCTATTTATAATTATTATAACTAGCTTAATTTATAATTAGAACCTCTTTTTTATATTTATATAGAAATTTATATAGTTTAATTAATCTCTTCGTTAACCTACGGTTCGAACTAACTACCCTATAATAGGGATACTAATAGTATTTAGAAACCCCGTCTCTGATCCGCACTCAACCCCTTCACCTTATTGTCCAAGTCACCTTGCTATCAAACATACAGAACTCTGTGTATGTGTACCACTCAGTCTTGTCTTATTCGCACAGGCTCTTCTTGGAGTATCTTCTTCCCTGCCACCTTATATGATATGAGCCACAGAAGAAGAATGACAGCAAATTGTGAGAGAAGCATGTAAGGAAACACATGGAGCCCCACCACCTGGGTGATAGCGCCGAGCATGTATGGAAGTATGGCGCCGCCGACTTGGCCGAGGGAAGCAACAAACGATACCGCACCAACATGAAGCTCTTTTGGTAGGTAATGAACGAACTCAACGATGCAGGACGGGAATAGCGGGCCCATAACGAAGCCGAGCAGTGCCATCGAAAGTACCGAGATCCACAGAACCTGCGCTATCATGAAAAGCACCACAATGGTGGGAGCAAGTGCCAAGTAAATGATGACTGCCCGTCTTGGGGTCAATTTCTCCGTGACTGCACCCAAAGCTAGTCGTCCAATCGCCATGCCTGCCCAGAAGCCAGAAGAGCAAATACTGGATGCATAAGTGCTCGTATGGCGGACGCGGAGCATGAATGTGACAACCCAGCCGGAAACAGTGCACTCAGTGCCCACGTATGCCAGAAGGTAAGCAGCGTATATCCAGGTCGCGCTGTATCGGAAGATGGCTCGTTGATCTACTCCATCTTCAGGGTTTCCCTGCTTCTTCTTGTTCTCATGGTACTTCGCTGCAGTCTCGTGTCTGAACGCCAGGGGCAGAAAGACCACTTCTACAGCAGATGCAATAGCCTGAAAGCGTGTTAGTAGCCAACCAGGAAAGATTCCAAGCCTTGTCCAGGTTCCTTCGATAGAAACTTACCAGCACATAGAACCACTGATACCACTGTCCATTATTCGTAGACAACATAATCCCTGCTAGGTAGGGGCAAGTCGCAGCTCCAATCGAGAATGAGCCATGCAAAAGACCCGATAGGGTATTCGCGTTGTTCAGTGCAGCAACCCAAGCACACCAGGATCCATCGACTATGCCAACTCCGAAGGAACCTACAGTGACTCCCAGAAGGAATACTGGAAAACGTGGATGGAAGGAGCCTACTACAGCGTAGACCAGATGGCATGCGGGACCTATGAAAGCAATTCCGCGTTGCCCGAGTTTCTCATGGATGCGACTGTTGAGAAGAGATGCCAAGCAGTAGCCGACTGGTCCAACGAGAAAGATGGCAGAAACTTGAATTTCGTTGAGCTGGTAATATGTTTGCTGGTGCGGTAGTGTAACTCCGATTGTAGCCACGAAAAGGCCCGCGACTACGAAAGAGTAAGCTGCCGCGGCAAGCTTCAATGCGATGGCTTCTCGGTCTTGTCCGTTGATGGATGATGTTGGCTCGATATTCGAATCTGCACTTCGAGTGCCAAGCAACCGTTCTGATTCTGTTGCACCATTAAAATCAGGTGATGAAGTGGGAGGTGCCATGATTCGTGCTGTTGGGGTCGCTGTGAACGAAGAGCAAAAGTAAGTAGCTCCCTTGACTATGACATTGGGGTAAGTTGACGGCTTGAAATGGAGGGTGTCAGTGATTATTAACGGTTTCAGGGCTCGAGAGCTGAGTCGGCAAAGCTTCGGATGATCATCCAGATGTTGCCTTTTTAGGAACATGTTCCAGCTCGGATGGGCCCTTGCGCTTCGCAACAAGGTTTAACAATGAAGTGTTGGCGCTTGTTGTCTTTCGCTTACTGCGTAGACCCAACTTCAAAGCTTCAGTTTGACACGATGATTAGCTTCAACATTCTACCGCAGACATCTTCTGAATTTAGGATGTAGAACAAGCATCATGTAGCTATGTTAACCGACTTCAGATACCGTACCCTCGATCTTGATCAACTCAAATTTGCTAGCTGGGGTAAGGCATGTAGTATTTCGAATAAGCCAGTCCGCTCAACATAAAATAGCCAGGTAATAGCGCTTAGAATCCCGATTGAAAGTATGTACAATCACCTTTATTTCACCTCATGGAGAGGGACAAACATTGAGGGAGAGAGGGAGAACATCATGTTCGGGTCTCAGAATTGCATCAATTCGGCGCCAATATTTCTACTCTCGACGGGTCCAACGGATGAGCCCAGGTTGAACTGGACGCGCAAACATGGACGTGTGATCCGTCGGCGGCACGATGCCTGTTCTTCCATCTATGGTGCCCAGTTTGAAGTTGCGCACGATAGTGCCGACAATAACACCTAGATTCAAGTATGCAAATTTCTCGCCAATGCAGCGGTGGCGCCCCGCCCCGAACGGGATGTAAGGACTCCTAGTACCCTTGGAAACTGCGCCATAGCCGTAGTCTACAACATTATTGGCATCAATGATACTCTCGCTAGGCTGTAGCTCATCCCACCGGTGAGGATTCCAGGACTTTGCGTCCGGGAAGTATTCGTCGCTTATGGCAGTCACCATTGGCGAGGCCAGCAGCACTTTGTCAGTGCCGACCACATAAGGACTTCCGGGAATGGCCAGAGGGTTCATAACCTTGCGGAGAATAGAGTGGATGGAACCATGTAGGCGAAGCGTCTCCTTCACGACATTGTGTAGAAGCGGCAGCTTGTCTAGATCGGAATATTGCATTGGCGAGAGTCGACTTTTGTCTCCATGGCCAAGATTCAGTATCTGCTCTTGATAAAGCTCTTCTGCAACGTCGGGATGTGCGGCTAAACGATGCATGATCCATGCACTGGCTGAAGATGACGAGTGTTGACCTCCCATGAGGAGCGTGATCATCATGCACGCAACCTCTTTATCTGGCACCGGTGTTCCATCCTTGTATTTCGAGTTCATGAGGTTCCAGAGCATGTCGTACTCGTCGTCGGGCTCGAGACCATTCTTACGACGTTGGATGATAATATCCTCGTATACGTCTCGCATCTTGTTGTGGGCAGCATCGCGACGTCGGTTTCGGGGTAGAGGTAGCCAAGGAAAGAGGAAATTGACTGGGGTGAAGCCCTAGGCGGCCAGGCTGTTAGTATCATACTTGCATCTAGAGAAGCCAAATATCAACGGGGGGATATGGGGGACCTACCATGTCAAGATCATGGTACAAGCCCGCGAACTCAGCCGTCAGCTTTTGCCTGACCTCTTCTCCCTGCAACGAGCGCGTTGCTGTGAATAATGTGATCTCAGACATGGCGGCAGAGATATCAACAACACCCGATGACCCCTTCCATGCAGGGCTCACCTTGATATAATCCACCACTTCCTTCTCAATCAACGGAACATGAGATTCCAGAGCCTTTTGTGTAAGTCCAAACTTGACAAACTTCTTCTGTTCCATGAGCTTGGAATTAGGGCAGTCGTAAATGACATCTTTTCCGAAAACGGGAATCGTGAGGGGTCCGTAAATCTCCTCGGCGTTGATGTCCTGAAGCTTTCCATTGAGAATAAAGTCGTTGCCCTCGATTCCCAGATAGCAGGTCATTTTCCTGCCAAAAAGGGTGAAAGTGAAGACATCACCGTACTGACCAAAGGTTAGCGAAATGAAAGCTTATAATAGCTCATGCTGCTCCTGCGCGAGTCTTTGGTAGGCTATACCTTCGCACGGTACTTGACGAAGAACCCTACAGGATCCATGCCATAGGAAACAGCATTGCCAATGTAAGGAATCCAATGAAAAACAGCTGGCGGTTCGCTCTTGGCGTGGAAAAGCGTCTGACGGCAGGCATTGATCAGAATCGATGCGACTAATCCGATGAGGCCACAAAAGGCAATGGGTGCCAAACTCGACAGGCCCAAGACCTTAATAGAGTCTGGCATTTCAGCGGCTGGGTTTTGTCAATATTCTGTAGAATGATAAACAAAATCTTCAAGTAAGAAGAGGATAAGGACTGCGTCTGGGCCAACACAACAAAAGTCGAGTAGCCATTTCAATAGCTCGGTCAGGAAAGACGACGACAATTCTTTTTAATTCAAACATGTGTAGTAGGCAATGGCAAACATCCAAAACTCCGTCGGTGATTTGGAGCCAAGTCTAGCAACCTGAGTGATAGCAACTAAGAAGCCTTTCGAATTCGTATTCGGCTGGACCTACAAGCCTTCGAGATGTTAGTAATTGCGATGTCCACATCGAGCTCCCTGCTTTCCTTGATGGCCCTGGAGCGCAAAGGCGGTTCGTATTCGTATTAGGTACGTACCCACCCCTATTAAGCTGCAGGCGCTGCTGATTTCAGTTGAGACCAGTGGGCCTAGGAAATACATAAGCACTAGAAAATCACTGCGATTTCCTAAAACATCTTTATTGATGAATGCACAATTACCGCGTTTCATAAAGTCTGTCCGACTATGGTGGGATGCAGTCGCTAGTGTGCAGGTTATGCTCTTCGAGGTAAGGTATCAGCTTGGAGCAGGTTGGATCTCATACGTAGTATAAGTCGGATTTTGGTCTACCCAAATCTACCTCTCATTACTTAAGAATACAGACGAGTAAGGATTTGAATGCAAGTCTCTTTCGGAGCATCAGAATTGCTGCTCTCAATTTTTTCTACTCTTTCTGGCAGTACTTCCAATATCGGGTGACACTCGCTGCACGAATCTGTCGACCCCATTTGATCATGGCAAAGTACGACGAGATCTGCGCCAAAGCAGCAAACGCAGCAACTAAAAACGCGTTTTGGTACCCCATGTTTTCGACCCAAGGAGTTATGCTGATATCGGTGAGCCAAATACACCTCTTTCCAACATTGAACTAATGACGGCGACTCACCCATAGGAAACAGCAAAAGACATGGTGTTGCGGATCAGGATGACGGTGACAATGGCATCTTCGCCCAACTCCTTGTAGCAGTCGATGCAATAGCTGATCGAAAGCTGGCTGCCGGCAGTGATAGCTGCACCGAAGACACCCATTGCAAAAACCAAGCCAAACCAATGGACTTCGTGCGCGGCCCCGACGCCCCAGAGGAGAAGAGCACCTGGGATGCAGATCAATAGTGCTGTGAAGAGCCACAAACGGAACTCGGGTTCCATTATTCCGTTGTTACGACGTGCCTTCCAGATGACGAACTTGTCGCCAAAAAGCCCTGAGTACACTGTTCTATAGTAACCCATTAGAACTTATACTAAAGCGAGAGAGAGCACGAGAGAGAGAGAGAGAGAGAGAGAGAGAGAGAGAGCTAGACGTTGCTTACCCAATGCCGACGCCGATCAAACAGGATATGTAAGACAATCCGACAATGCTTGATCTGAAGTTGTAAGGCGAGCTCGATAAGATCAACGATGCAGTGCCATTCAGAACATTGAAATAACAAACAACAGCTCCATACATGAAGCCTGCGAATACGATTGATGGAAATTGGAAGTAGAGGAATGGTCTGATCACCATCTCTACAAGTGAAGCGTGATGATTGATGTCCTGTTTTCTGAACATTTTGAGCTTGTCAAGGTATGACTTCTTTGTCATAGTCGGCACGAGGCTGGGAGGCGTCTGAACAGGCGCTACTCGATCTGAGTCGGATGGATCTTTGGACCCCTTCTCAAGTGCTGATGGTGTGTAGTCCACTTGGTAGGGTTCGGCCGTCAAAACGTCCATGCGTTGATAATTGGTCTCTTCCATGAAGAAGAAACAAATGACGAAGCCAGCCCCGCAGAAGATAGCACACCAGTACTGCATCTTGAAGTCAGTCACAGGAGCGAATGCATGTAACCTCCAAATTCAAAGTCTCACCAAGACCCATTCCCAACCTTGGCCGTCATTGACGAATCCAGCAATGACTGGTGCAAGGAAGTTGCTTCCCACCAAGAACAAGGCATAGAAGCCCATGTAAGTGCCTCTCTCATGTGTGAACCACTGCTTGCACGGTCAGTTGGGATACAGAAGGTGAGGATACTACTAAGATAGTTATCTGAAGAATACATGAACGCTTGGCGTACCACATCAGCAATGGATATCTCGCATAGAGATTCTATGGGAGCACCGATAGCTCCCTGCAGTACTTTATTCGCAATCCAATTACTGCCCGTGGTGGCATATGGTGCCCACAACATGATGGCCTAGGTTGCCTATTGTCAGGTCGAGGACTAGCACCAGCTGATAGTGTGAAGACTAACCATGCTTCCTAGTAGAGTAAACAAGTATACTGGACGTTTGCCAAACTTCTGGGCAAGCGGTTGCCATATCAGACAGCCCCAACCAAATGCCAGAAACATGTAGCCGGTTCCGGAGTTCAAATCTGCGAGGGTCAGACCGGTCGCGGTGGATATCGGCACAAGGACTGAGTAGATCGCGGCTGATGCGATGCCAACGGCGAGGCAGTAACTGCATCATAACGTCGCCTGATTAGCTTTAAAGAGGGCAAATCAGTTGCCAGGTGGAGTCGACTCACACGCATATGCATGCTAGGAGCTGATACTTTCTTCGAGGGCTCCAATTCAAGGGGTCGTCCGGGTCATTTGATGGCGTCGGAATCAGAACGATGTCTTTTCCACTACCCTCAGCGTGCCGTGAGGCCATCGTACCCTCAAGATCTACCAAGTGGACCGTTCCAGGGATGAAGCCCGGCGGCGGGGCCATTCCGACCATGCCAGAGCCCATGGTCGATGTTCAAAGAGAAATTTGTGGAAAAGCCTGGGTGGTCCGTGGGGCATAGAATGAGTGTACCAAAGAGTTGCGAGAAGGGAGTAATGGTGGGCAATATGTAGGAGAGACAATGAGTTCTATCTATCTTCTGCCCATATAGAGATTGATAGCAATGACGGAAATGAAGCCGAGAAGTAATTCCGGAACGGTGATATCAGACTTTGACTACATGTTCCAAGTTTCAATGTGACAAGATAGGCATTCTCTTGATAAAGCACATGGGAGGCATGGTGGTAAGTAAAGGGGCCATGGTGGACTCGGCGGCCGTGACTTTCTTGAATGGGGCCAATCATATGTAATTACGAACTTATCTCATATGGGTCGGCCCTTAAGTCTGGGGTAATCTCCACCATACCAAGTATGGGTGACTTGACGATGGGGTAAATGGACTTGATCTCTGCGCGCCCAGCAATCATGCTGCGCCCGGCACTGTCGAAGTGACACTGCTACAGGGTTACAGATGCACCAAATGATGATTGTGAGGATAAATTCTGCCTTTCTTGTCTGCTACCTCAACAACGATCCAGCAGATTATGACATGCATCAAGCTGGTGTGGATAAGCCAATAGCCAATGATTGAGAATTACGAGAGTTCGGCACCGGCTGATTGCTGTTAAATGCCATGAACCAGCCAATCACTTGTATTTGCGAGGGATCGAGAGGAGCCAACTCTGATAAGGCACGGATCACACCCGTCCTCTTGTTGGGATGATAATCTGATCCTTGAGGAGACACCAACGACAACAAAGAATTGTTGCGACAACAATAGAATGGCACCAGATCGGCAGAGCATGCCGAGGGATTACTCCAACTACGGTATCTCAAGAGAGGTTCCGGCGTCAAGTCCTGCCTACTAGTACCTGTTTTAGCCATGTATTTACCTTGGGTCGAGAAAAACGAAGCTGCATTAATGAGGGGAACTCATTACAGGACTCCAACAGATTATGTACGCTGTCGTCACAATCAGCGGCGATAAGTCATTGACCGATAAGCATGCGAAGTTGAATAAGTTCCAATCTTCAGTCAACGGGGGATGGCCGGGTTCTTGATTATCCCCTCCCCCAGTCCTTGGAATAGAAATATTGATAAAAACATTATCCCAATTATATCCAACGTCTGATGGTTGTCTCCTCCGGCGCACCCTCTTTTACCATCAACTTCCATCATTTTATCCTAGTCTCTTTCCCAGTGTATCAATAATCATGGGTTCGCTTGCACCAGCTTCGTGGGAACTCAAGGCCGATAAGTTGAGGAAGATCCTCAAAGACTCTCTCAATCCGAAATGGCTCTTGGCTCCGGAAGACCTGCCTTCCCCAAGCCAGCTGAACATCTCCAAGTTCATCGACACGTGCAAGCTGTTGACCCCACAGGAGCAGGAGATTACAGCCTGTAGCGGCACTGAGCTAGTAAGCCGGATGGCTGCTGGCAAGCTTACCGCCGTTGAGACAGTTACAGCGTTTCTGAAGCGCGCTCATGTGGCTCATCAGCTGACCAACTTCGCGACCGAGTTCTTGGTCGATGAAGCGTTAGCTGCTGCTGCAAAGCTCGATGCGGAATTCCAGGAGACTGGAAAGATTGTTGGACCGCTGCATGGTCTGCCGATTTCTATTAAAGAGCATATTGGACTCAAAGGGAAGATTGTGCATTCGGCCTACGTGGCTTGGGCGGACAACATTGCCCAAGAAGACGCTCTAGTTCTTCGGCTGGCTGCGAAAGCGGGTGCTGTCTTCCATGTCCGCACCAATGTCCCACAAAGTTGCATGGTAAGCCACGTCGTTCATGATTTCCGAGACAACCGGACTGACTGGTCGTACTACAGCACCTCGACTGCAGCAATCCCATCTACGGCACGACAGTCAACCCTTACAACCGCAATCTCACATCAGGCGGCTCCAGTGGTGGCGAAGGAGCATGCCTCGGACTCCGTGGCTCTGTCTTGGGACTCGGGACTGATATCGGGGGCTCCGTTCGTGGGCCGGCGGCCTTTTGCGGCTGCTATGGTCTTCGAACAACGGCTCTGCGCAATCCATACAAAGGCATTTGTCTGCCGGGCCTAGGTCAAGAGAGCATCAAGTGTATCTTGGGCCCCTTGGCAAACAGTATCTCGGATATTCAGCTCTTTGAAGATGTTGTACTTAACCAAGAGCCTTGGGACGAAGAGACCTCTCTGGTTCCCCTGCCCTGGAAGAAGATGGAGCCATATCAACCAGGCCAATTTACTGTTGGTGTTATTTGGGACGATGGGTAAGTGATTTTGGAATTTGGATGCATGCTTTCGAAGTTTCCACTAACGGTAGCTGTACAGAATGGTTCATCCTCATCCGCCAGTTACCCGTGGCCTCAAGTACGCTGTTGACAAACTTAAGGCAGCTGGGGTGAAGGTCGTAGACTTTGAGCCGTATAAACATAGCGAAGGAGCCGAGATAATCGAGCTTCTCTACTTCCCAGACGCAGCTGAGACACAGAAGGAAGTCCTTGCAGAAGGGGGCGAGCCGGTAGCACCATTAACGGAGTGGGCGTTCCACTACTCAAAGCCGGAGCCGCTCACCATCAGAGAGAATTGGGAACTGAACTTACGGAGAGAAACTTTCCGTGAAGAGTAAGGAAAACCATATCCATCTGCTTGGCTCATAGCTGACACCGTTGGCACTCAGGTATCATAAGGTGATGAAAGATCGCGGCGTCGATTTCATCCTTTGCCCCGCCTATGTCGGCGTGGCTGCAAAGTGCGGCACTCCTCAATACTGGCATTACACGACTATCTGGAATATTCTGGATCAACCAAGCATCACTTTCCCGACTGGTCTTCATGTCGACCCCAAGGTTGACGTAGTTGATGCCAACTACAAGCCTCGATCCGCAACAGATGAGAGAGAGTACAAGAAATGTAAGTTTACACCACGTCCCGTGGCTATGGTTTCTCGATTGAGCATATGATATTTACCAAAAAAAATCAGATATTCCCGAAGCGTTTGTCGATGCCCCGATCGCTCTCCAGCTCGCTGGCAAGCACTTCCGGGACGAGGAGACGGTGGCTGCAGCAGATTTGGTAACGAAGATCATACAAAATTGAGGTGAACTTGGCCCTTATTTTGTGATATCTCAATATTTTCAAGCCTTGAAAATCCACTTGAATAATTGGATAATCTTGATTCATTACTGGCCGTATGATTTTCTCTCATCAACGGAACATAGGCCCATTTGTAGGCACCTAGATTTGGACCATTGCGGTATAGTTCGCGGGCAGATTTCTGTGCCAAACTTCGCGAGGTCGCGATGAAAATTTGTACTCAACACGGCGGCCGACTAGCCCTCAAAGTCATCATCTAGATTGTTGAACCATACGCATTGGTGTGTAAGAAGGTGATTTCACTAAAGCAACTGCCTAGAATGCTTGCCATACATGCCGCAGACGAACTCAAATGGTGTGCAAGGTTCTAGGTTGTAGATATGTGCAACCAACCCCGCAAAGGTATGGTATGTACTCCAAGTAATACGATAAGCCGGCCCACCATGGATGTTAGGACGATGTTCGTGCGGGGCTGTGCACCATTTTTCCTATGATAAGACATGCCGATCCTGCGTATCCCTTTTGGTTGGGTCTTTGAAGTAGGCAGCCTTGCTTCGCAGCTGGCATATCTGCTTCGTCACTACCGATTGCTGATTTTAGCGCCTCAATACATGTTTATTACACGTGCATCAACATGCCCAAAGCCAAATTGCGAACGAAGACCGGGTGCTCGACCTGTGAGTCAGTTCGATTCGCCTATTCGACATCAGGAACGTTGCTGATACATAGCAGGCAGGAAGAGAAGAGTGAAATGCGGCGAGGAGAAACCAGTATGCCGCGCCTGCGTTGCTTCAGGACGTGGTTGCACGTGGCCGTCCTCCGACGACATGTACGATAGACGTCACCGATCTCGTCGATCCTTCTCTGATGACAGGACCTTGCCTTCACCGTCTTCCTGCAGCAAAGAATCCATCATCTCTCTGGAATTAAGAGAGCTGCCGGATCTCGAACAGGAGCTGACCCACCACTACTTCAACATATTCCTCTCCGTACTCTTACTCCCCACAGTGAGAGAAAGAGACCTGGAGGGCTATGGATCGCAGGTGATGAGCATGATGCTTTGCTCTGAAAGCGTAAAGTGCGCTGTCCTAGCTGCGTGTGCTTCTAATAAGTACATGCTCCTGAGGTCAAGGAGGTATCATGATGCGGCACTGGGGTACTACTTCCGTGCCGTGGAACTGGTCAATCGTGCTCTTCATGACTTGGGTGCATCCGCCAAGGGGCCTGACGATCCGCTGCTGACCACCGTTGTGTATCTTTACTTATACGATGTAAGTATCCCGTTGTTACTGAGTCTCAAATCCCAACCCGATCTCATTAATTTGAAAGATGTGGGGGCCGCCCGACGAGACTTTAGACGCGAGGAAGCACGTCGACGGCGCTATGAACCTACTCAAGCTTAGATACGAAGACACCTGCTCACCCATGTCAATGTCGAGACCTCTACATCGAATTAATACGGAGAGCGTGCTTTATCAAGCATTCCTGCTTGCTATGCGAAAGCCATTCGCTCCCAACTTTCATGTGGATGAACAATTCCTCGATCGATCCGAACATGTTCTCAACGCAAGGAAACTCATCGACATATTATCCGAAGGTGATAGCCCCGTACTGGGCTTACCACTGCCGCTATATCGTCTCATAACGGACCTCATTGACGTCCTCAACTCACCCAAGCATCCGACTGGAGCGTTTCTGATTCGGATGAGAGAGGAGATGAAAACATGGGAAGGCCTCGTACTGGTAGAAGATGAAGGAGCCAGCTGCCCTTTGTCCATGACGAGCTTTCACAAAGACGCTGGTACTCTTTTCGTTTTGGGCGCTTCGCTGCTCCTAGACTACATCGCAGAGTTTTCACTCGCCAACCACACTTTATGGCCACAGGTCCCAAGAACTACGCAGAACAGCTGGAACCCTTTACATCCAATGCGAAGTGCACCAAGATGGCAAGTGCAGCGTGCCTTTGAGATTCTTCGTCGACCAGCCGCCTATGAAACGTAGACGCGGTGCTTCTTGGGGGCTTGGCCGATGTTGATACTTGGTTACTCTGTTACCTCGTCTGAGGATATCTCGTTGATCCGGCGTGTTCTGACGCAAATGGTAGAGCGTATGGGGTATGGAGAAATTCAAAGGATTCTCGATGATCTAGAAGGAGTCTGGACTAAGCGCACCGAGGACATTCCTAGAGAGTCTGTGGTGATGAGTGCTATCGAGAGGACTTGTGCGGTGTAATCAAGGGTTGTGGGCAAAAGTCTTTGTGTTCAATTACCAACATGCAGTGAAAGTAAAAGATGATTAGGAGACAGCAACTAAAGTATATAATGCTGCAGATCTGTTTCCATCCTATGGTACTAATTCAACGAAAATGGACGGCAGGCATCGTATTTGCACCGCATGTCAGTGACTGAGGCCTTTAGCATGCGCTTTGGCAACATGACGCCAGTATCTGTTCGCACTATTCTCTCTGATAGTCCTACCATACTTGGTCATGACGAAGATACTAGCATTCCAGACGAATCCGATCGCGGCAACGATGATGTAGGTATCGCGATATCCCATATGGTTTAGCCAAGGAGTGATTCCATAGTTGATTGCAAACGACATGGTGTTGCGGATGATGACGCATGTGGTGATCATGTCACCGCTAAGCTGCGGATACGACGCGATGGCATATCCGAGTGATCCCGCCACAGCAAGGGCGTTGTTGATGGCGAGGGTGAACTGGGAGATGACGAGACCCATCCAGTGAATGTGGTAGGTCACACCCAGGCCGTATAGGAGCATGCTGAATGGTACCAGAAACATTGATGCGGAGAAGAGCCAGAGGGAGTGTTCCGACTCGGAGATTCCATTGTTGCGTCGGGCGAGGCGGATCGTGAGCAGCCGACCGACCTTGCCGCAGTAGTAGCCTCTGCCAGGATGCATAAGTCAACGATCTCTTCCTTTCCCTTTTGAGGAGTATCTAGGAAACACTTACCCAACCATAGTACCGAGTAAGCCTCCGGCATAAGCCGCTGCTACACCGGCAGTAGAGAAGCCGTACATCGTGGTGTATACAGTACCAGCCGTAGCGTTCTGCACACCCGACCATACCAAATTGTTGGCACCGTACATCAGACTAAGCACAAGTTAGCTATCAGATTCATCTCATGATAGGAAGAAGATTCCCACCCTGCGTAAACGACTGAGGGGTATGTGAAACCTCTAAGTCCACCAAGTGCAATATCCAACATGCGGTTGGGCCTAGCCTTGTCCTTGATACTGAGCTTCTGGATATAAGTCTTGCGAGGATAGATCATCTGCCCAGTTTCGGTATCAACAGGTTTGGCATTTGTCATGTTTTTCTCGTCCGCCTTATCAGACGACTTCTCGTCCGCATCGCTCCCGTTGTGCTGCTCTCGAACTCCGGTTGCATGACCTGTGGATGTGCTGTCTTCGACAGGCCGCGCGGGACGATCATAGTTGGTCTCCTCCATGAAAAGGAAGCAGTAGACGAGAGCAATGCCGTTGAATATAGAACACCACCACTTTAGTAGGCAAGAATTAGCTAGATACGGCAGGGAGGGATAGGGGCTAAAGGCTGTTAGAGAACATGACTTACGAGAGTCCATTTCCAACCCATGCCCACGTTGATGAAGCCCGAAAGCATCGGAGCAAGCTTGCCCGTCATTGAAAGACCCCACCCGTAGAGTGCAAGGTATTTAGGGCGCTGGTGCGCGAACCACTGTTCGATGGTTAGTCAAGCGCATTCTTTGGGGCCTGCTTGGGTTCCTACGATATCTGTGATAGAAATTTCGCACAAAGATTCAACCGGGGCCCCAAAAAGCCCAAGCAGGATGCGATTGGCCAGATATGTGTGTTTCGTGGTGCACATCGGGGCGGTAGCGAGGATGATCTAGGAGCCGTCACATTAGCAAAGATTCCGTCATTGACGCTGGGTTCGCTTGAAGGACTAACAATGTTGGCCATGAGAGACGCCAGGTACGCTGGTCGTTTGCCGTACTGCAACGCAAACGGTTGCCAGATCAGACAACCCCAGCCATAGAACAGGAACTAGAGCAGGAGTTACAAGTCAGCATGGCTTTGGATTGCGATATAGACTCTCCTCACCATGATTCCCGTGCCATTGTTGATATCTGAAAGCGATAATCCAGTTGCTTTTCTGATGGGGGTGACGACAGAATAGACAGCACTACTCGGGATTGCTATCATGACGGTGTAAACCAAGACGCAAGATGTCGCAAGCCATTTTCGCTTCTTGGTCCAGTTCAACGGGTCCTCTGGATCTTCCGACGGGCGAGGAATGAGAACGATATCCGCCTCATCGGATCCGGAAGCATGTTTGCTGATGACGGAGCCGTCTACGTCGATAAGTCTGGTGGTACCTGGAGGCAGGCCATCGCCATCCGTCTGAGCGGGGGCGTCGTGAGCCATTTGGTTGCTGTCGGGTCGGTCGACACCAAAGAAACGTGAATGATGCGGCTGTGTCGATCCTTGAGAGTTCTCGCACAGATAACAGCTGGCGTAGGAGGTATTTGAACGCAAAATGACCGCTCTTCGAATATCTTGGAGTGTTGTGCGACTCCAGCTACTTATCAGCGTAACTCGTAGAAACGTTGATGTGGTATGGCGATCCCAAGGCACGGTTCAACCAAACTAGGTGCACACACCCGCCACCCGGGTACGGCTATCAGCTATCTCCGTATGAAGCGAGTTACGGATGGGACTTGTTACCTAGGCCAGCGTTGGCCAAGGCGTCACTTTGCGGGGAATGGCGATAAGACACCCAAGTTCTCAGTCTCGGATATTGATCTGGACGTTCCTTGGGAGATGGGTGACAGGCAAGCTAATCAGCATGCTAGATAACGACTCAAGAGACTCTAGGCACGCGAACGTAAAACGCCATGCTTCAAGAGAGCCCTGGATAACGATAGCAGAACATCAACCATAATCCGCATAAAGATATGCGCTTACATCTCCTCGTTCCTGGGTCGTCGACCGCCCGCATAGAGCGGAGCCCCTAAAAAACAAGGGTGCCGGATGTTGCACTAGGATGGAGGCTTCCAGGCCCACCACTAGACCAAGTTGGCAGTTGACAGCGATAGGCCGAGAGAGCTCAATTTGGCGCTATCTAGGAATGGCAGATAGGGAAGACATTATCGCTTCAGATATAGTGTCTCCTACAACTTGTACTCTAGAAATAGGCAAATGATATTTGTGAAGCCAAGCAGCTGTTTTGTGCTATGGTTTCGTTTTTGGAATCTTGCTTTGAAGTGCTGTGCAACGTGACGCAACTTACACAGGATCCCCGACACCTAACATTCCCAAGCTCGCCCAAAATGGCAATCACCACAATTCCAAAAGGCTGGCGGGAACTCGCACAAGTCTGTATCGACATCCAGAAGAAGTCAATTCCCAAGGAGTATGAGTTGGCAAGCGACCAAATACCTCCGAAAGATCGTCAAAATGTGCTTGATATCCCAAATGAGTCTGGAATTTTGACTACGGAGGAAATTCGGATGACTGGGCAGGATGCCTCGAGCTTGTTAGGAAAGTACAAGAGCGGCCAATGGACTGTAAAACAAGTTGTCACCGCTTTTCTGAAGAAAACAACCATGATTCATCAATTGGTATGAAGATATCACATTGTGTAGGGATATTTCTAGCTAACGCATTATTTTCACGTGCCAGACCAACTTTGCTACCGAGATTTTAGCAGAAGATGCCCTTCAGAAGGCCAACGAACTTGATGCGTACTTCCAAAAAACAGGCCAGCTGGTCGGCCCTCTTCATGGCATCCCGATATCAGTCAAGGTAGATTTTGTCCCTCTAGTCCCGCGTCGAGGAATGTGGTTACTGACTCGCTACTGATAGGAACACATCGGCATGGGTGGCCATATCACGCACGCAGGGTTTGTATCAAAGATTACAAACACCCCGCTCGAAGACGCCCTTTCCATCCAGATTTTGAAAAAGGCAGGAGCAGTTATTCATGTCAGAACGAATCAACCGCAGAGTCTCATGGTAGGTATACTAGTCTTTTCTGTGACAACAAACTTGAGAGGTTGCAAATAAGTTGACATTCTTTGCTTCACAGCATCTGGACTGCAATAATAATATCACCGGGCTAACTAGGAACCCACACAACCTTCTTTGCTCGCCCGGAGGATCATCCGGTGGTGAAGGAGTATCAGTCGGCGCGAAATGCTCAGTGATTGGCGTGGGCACAGATATTGGCGGGAGTATACGCATCCCTGCCGCCTTCAATGGTTGTTATGGACTTCGACCGACGGCTCTGCGTGTGCCAAACCTTGGAAATTTTGGTATCACATCTGGACAAGAGAGTATCCGGGGTGTTGTAGGACCCTTGGGCCAGAGCGTTGAAGATCTGGAACTGTTCATGAGTGCTGTTCTTGCAGCTGAACCGTGGGATACTGAGACTATGTTGGTTCCAGTGCCATGGAGACCTGTCAATCCCAGGAAAGAGATCACGGTGGGAATCATGTTGAACGATGGGTATGTCCATTTCCCTGTCTTCTATTGTCTTTGTAACTGACTTGAATGGGTCGAAGTTTCGTCAAACCACATCCGCCGGTCCTACGGGCTCTTCGTTCAGCCGCGGAAAAATTGAAACAATCAGGTGTGAAAGTGGTAGACTGGGAACCCTTTGACCACCAGCGCGGCTGGGAAATAGTAGTAAGTCGCCATTTCATTTTTCCTTTCCTTTCTCTTTCTTCTTTCTTCTTTACCTGCCTAGACCCTCTTCTTCAGGTATTTGTAGAATAGGTTCTGCAAGGTTCATCTCGACTAACCAGAATCAGTCCTCGTTGTATTTTCCCCAAGGGCCAAAGCCGTACCTCGACACATTTGCCGAAAGTGGCGAGCCGGTCCTCCCACTTACCGAGCATGCTTTCAGATTCTCAAAAGCCGAGCCACTTACAGTCGCAGAGAACTGGAACCTCAACTATAGAAGAGAGGAATATCGACGAGACTATCATGCTCTGATGAAGCACAGAGGCGTCGATGTCATACTATGTCCTGCATACGTTGGTGCGGGTGTGTTGCAAGGCGGCGCCGAGTACTGGAATTACACGGCCATTTGGAACGTGCTAGACCAACCAGCAGCCATCTTGCCGAGCGGACTGAAGGTTGACAAAGCCATTGACAAGCCCGAAGAAGATTACACGCCTCGGAATGACTATGATGCTAAAGAATGGAAGGCCTGTAAGTCACCGCCCCTAGCTCACTCGAGCTCCTTCAGTTGTCGCGTCCCATGTGCTGACGGTGTGATGTTATTTAGATGATGCCGACCTTTTCCACGACATGCCAATTTGTTTACAGCTTGTCGGAAAACACTTCCAAGATGAAGAAGTGCTACAGGCAACTAAGCTGGTTGATCGCATCTTGAAGGAATAGATTTTCGCTCTTATCTAGACTAGACGCAAGGAGTTGTCGAGGCATCGGCGCATAGATGAGTAGACTTAGATGCCAGACTTTCTACTTGATCAAGGGGCTTGGATAGATAGACTTCAATATTCCACAATCAACACATGCCCTCTTAGTTTTTTGGTACTTGTGTGTACATAAAAGGCGGTTACGTTGTATGTTTCGAGGTAGCGGGCGACTGAGGTAAAGAACTTCAATCAAAGCCGTCTAGGAAAGCGCGAGAATTGTGTTGAGTTGCGTCGGTCATGGCATCAGAATCTTTGGGCCACATCCGTCGGCCTTACAAACCGTTCTGTTTCCATGAACGTTGACACTGAAAGGCCAATGGCAACAATCCCACCTCACTGTAGCCGACATATCAACAACATGGCTTAAACTTTAGGAGGTAAGAACCCGTCAAGATAGACTAGAGTTCAGTGACTTGGTATCGTTAGAGTGCCTCTTGATTGTCCATCTCTCTTGAATGCCGGGCTTTTTCGGTGCCGCACTCCGTAGATATGTAAGGGTAAGGTATTACGCAGTACCTAGATAACGACGCCCGCGGGCAACCGGCTATGATATCCGATCAGAAGAAATTTCCCCACCGGAATAGAGACACCGTAGCACCCGTAACCTTGCTCATGTCCCCTTGTGGGGTTTGGCTGAAGTGGTGGACGTATTTTTGGGGGAGGGGCCGAGGGTCGCCGTGTTGATAGGGCAGTCCTAGGCTGCAACACATCATTGTGGTCAAGCCCTGGCCAACTGAGCGATCGCAACTGAGCGGGGTCTGCGATCGCTGTCGGATGCCTAATCCAGACGCCAACGGAATGGGACAGCCCATGAGTTGAATCAACGTCCGGTATCGCGACCATCATATCACTTTCGTATTTTCTTCTGAAAGGTTGATACTGATCTCTTGTCTTAGAACAATTGCCTGTTGAAAGCGATAATTTTGAAGCCACCCAAAGACGACATAGACCATCGCCAGCGCCTTTCGGGACGGTGATCAATCTTTGTAGAGCAAGTCCAACTCACCCTAGCTGGACCATACGCAAGCAACGTGTCTCTTCCCAGGCAATCAATATGACCAAACTCATCGAAACCATCGACCTCTCGAACACGTCTGCGGCGTACTACGCCCCAGCCACAATCACTCGTGCCAGTTCCCTGGTGCACGTATCAGGCTTGCCCGGCAACACCAAAGATGGCAAGGTCCCGTCAGACTACGACTCCCAAATTCACCTCGCGCTGCTCAACCTACGCAAAGTCATCATAGCTGCCGGATCGACGGTATCCAACATTGCGAGTTTGACTCTCTACATTGTGGACTACGATGCCTCTAACCGCCAACATGCCCGCCACGTCCAGCGGTTCCTGGGAACGCACCGCCCCGCAATGACACTCGTTCCCGTACAAAAATTGGCGGTGCCGGGCTGGCTGATCGAGATCAACGCCGTGGTCGCCCGACCAGAAACACCCTCAGTTCCTCGAAGCCTTCCATCGGTGCAGGAGAGTGTCGATGTTGTCATTATCGGTGCGGGATTGGCGGGTCTCTCTGCCGCTCATGAGGTCCGACGGGCTGGGCTAAGCTGCGTTGTGTTGGAGGCCCGAGATCGTGTGGGCGGCAAGACGTGGAGTCAACCGATGGAGGATGGCAGGGACAACGGCGTGTTCGACCTCGGCGCGGCGTGGATCAATGACACGAATCAAAGCAGGATGTATGAACTTGCGAAGAGATATGGCGCTGAGTTGATCGAGCAGAACACCAACGGTAACTGCGTTCTTCAAGATTTCGATGGCAAATGCAGCCCTTTCCCGTACGGGGAGCTGCCCAAGGTCGGTTTCGAAAACACCCCGTCAGATATGAGCATTTCTCACATGTTGGTCATGGATATAGTTCAGTGAATCGACGCGCGATCATCTAGCTCAAATCAGGGACATGGCAGAAGCAGACTGCCAAGCCCTCGACGTTTTCAGACCACGGGACACATCTCTCGACTCTCTCACATTCGAGGCTTATCTCAAATCTCGAGGTGCCGATAATGTTGCTTTAGCCACAGCCACAGTCTGGACACGGGCCATGTTGGGCCAAGAGCCAAAGGACATCTCCGCACTGTACTTCCTGAACTATTGCAAGTCGGGCGGTGGACTGCTGCAGATGCGATCGGATAGAAAAGATGGAGGACAGTATCTCCGGGTCCGCCAAGGCACGCAGCTCTTCTCTAAAGGGCTGGCTTCGTCATTGCCTGAAGGAATCGTCCGTCTCTCTAGCCCCGTTCAGGCTGTTGTACAGAACGAGAATCGCTCAGTTAAAGTCGAGGCCGGCGGTAAGGTCTACTCAGCGCAAAAGGTCATTACGACTGTAGCTGGTCCCGTCCTCAAGTCGATTTCATTTCAGCCAGCGCTACCCCATACGAAGCTGGCCTGGATCGAGTCACAAACATACGGATACTACACGAAAGCTATGATGGAGTTCAGCACCCCGTTCTGGGTCGAGAAGGGATATTGCGGCTTGGCTCAATCTTTCGTCGGCCCTGCTTCTGTAATTCGTGACACGAGCAGTCCGGCAGACAAAAAGTTCGTACTAACGTGCTTCATGGCCGGCGAGCCTGGCAAGGCATGGGCGGCAACGACAACCACCGAGCGAGAGAGCAGCCTACTAGAGCAACTGAGTCAATTATATGGTGTCGAGAATATTCGTCAGCTCTTCAAGCAGATGGTATTCTACGAATGGGTCACCGATGAGTTTTCGGGATTGGGATGCCCTTGCACGTCACTCACTCCTGGAGTTCTTGACACGCTCGGTGGAGATGGGCTTCGGGAGCCGTATCGTGATATCCATTTCGCGGGAACAGAAACCGCAGGTGAATGGAAGGGATACATGGAGGGCGCTGTAAGAAGTGGAGAGCGGGCGGCTGTGGAGGTTGTGAAAAGCCTTCAAGGCGGTCTGATATCACGCCTCTAGTTTCCTCACGTTTCTCTTGGTTAATAAGCTCGATGATATTACACGAACCTGAAGATGTCTTTGAGCGCTGTGCCAATACAAAACATCTGACTTGGTTACTGAAATTGAAGTTATAATCTGAGATAATGTGTTCTACTACCGGTCTATATTACCATTGCTGCACGCTGACTCCTAAGAAGCGTGGTATCAGCCCCAAATGCTGGGATCTGGCTCAAAAGACCACCACCAACAGCTCATGGCGTTCAATGTAGCGGCGTCGGGCCTCTGCATTGTCGCCGTTCTAGAAGACCATGCCGCTCAGACAAGGGACGAGAGCGCTGTCACGCGGTGCCGGCCTCTGTGCATCAGCCTGGTGTTTCGCCCACCGGCATGGCATACAAGCTTCATCCATTCACCATTGGCCGATCTTTTCACTGGTCCAGTGAATTAAAGTTTCCCCTTCCGAAGCATTGGTACCGTGGTGTTTGTCGCAATAGCCAAGCAGCTACAGATAATGCCTGGCTTTTGTTGATGGGTGCTCGGTAACCTCGGTTTGTGGGGGAACTACAGGGTATTAATTGGAAAAGCTGCTACTGTAAATCAATCCAGTGCGATGGACTCGGGATTCTGGGTAGGCTAGATTTGACACGTTAGATGTATCATGCCTCTTTTGACTTCGACCAACGGCCTTGGAGGTTGCGAGTTTGACATTGGATGTTGCGCTTATCGATGGGATTTTCTTTCACATAAATGTGGTCAGCAGTTCAAATACTTAGCTTGTACGACGCATCTCAGGTCATCGATGAGAGCGGCTTTGTTCACTCCCAGTCCTCAGCTAAACTCGATTTGTAGACTTCTCTTTCGAGGCACCTCTAGATTGTTTTCGAGGCAACCTGATTTATTGCAGAGAGATACCGGCATCGGCAGCGACCTACGCAATCAAAATGCTTACCACCTCATTCCAGTTGACTCATGTCACACCGATTCCCGACTACATGACCCGCGAGGAGGTCCTCTCCCACCTTCACAATGCGGAAGTCCATATCAAGAGCGACCCGAATTTGACACACTGGACGCCCCGCACGCCCAAGGTGCCCCCCACTGTTCCCGACGATGTTGATTCCATAGCGGTCACTGAGTGTTACACCATCACGGATACGGTGCCTACCAACCTCCCAAAGGCCCTGCCCAAAGGCATGCTCGAGAAGAAGAGTATCAGCGAGTACGAGTTTACCTTCACCCCGGATGGAAGTTTCGTCAAAATCCACTGCCCCATGAGCGTCCTTTTGGAAACGCGGTGGCGTGTTCGCAAGGGGAGCGACGGAAGTCTGGAGTTAGAAGAGGTTGTGGACGCTCACTGCTCCCGTTTCCTTGTGGGCGTTGTAAAAGGCGAATTAGAGAAGAACTGGGTGGAGGTCCACCGGAAGATATTGACAGGGAAAGCATGAGTAGTAGGATTACAGAGCTTTCATCGCGATAGACGTACGCAACACATGATACAACGACTCTTATCCGGACAGGGAGCTTCAGGATGTCAAAGAACAAAGAAGTCATTCGCTTTTACCAGGAGAAAATACGGCATCCAATGCAAGCCCGCGTATCACCTGGAGATGAACTTTGCTTTATATTCTTCGGAAAACACAATGTCAATAGTCATACGCCGTCTCAAATCAAAATAGGTGCACCACCAATCAAAAATTGTCAAGGCTGGCTGGAAACAGTTTAATTGAGCACACGCGAAACTCGAGAGGCACTAAAGACTCGGACATGACCTTTACTCTCCTTTACAAAGCTCTCCACGCGACCTCCAGATTTCATACTCGAAGTCGGGTTGAAACTCCGTGTATAATGTCTCCTATGCGTTTAATCGGAGTTAGCCTTCAGCCATTCTCGTCGAGTTTGAGCACCACACAAGCTTCTTTGACGTACTGGATCAGCATTAACTTTGGCTGTGAACTCGGCCTCCTTTTCCCCAATGATATTCTTGGGGAGACCTGTGCTTTCCACCATAATCTGAACCTCGCATGACTTTTCCATCAACGTGAAAAGATACGCTGCCTCATCAACCGTGCCTCCAGTCGTTAACAGGCCATGATTCTGAAGGACAATGACGCGGCCCTTTTCACCCAGAGACTCCGCGATCTTTTGGCTTTCGTCTGCTTCCAAAACAACACCACCAAAAGACCTGTACACCGCCTGAATTCCCCAAAAGTTGCAAGTGTCTTGACTGATGATGTCAAGTGGTTTTCCGAACGTTGACCAGGCTTTCCCGGCTGGCGAATGTGTATGACAGGCCGCATGGATGTCAGGGCGAGCTTTGTGAATGGCGCTGTGGATCATGAAGCCTGCTGCGTTGACAGCTGCCCTGTTGCCGCCGATGACTTGGCCTTCTTCGTCAATCTGAACCATGTCACTAGCTTTGAGCATACCAAAGTGTTTCCCAAGCCTAAATCGGTGTTAGAAGCAAAGAATTCGAGATATTGACGATTTCTTAGGGACATGGACTCTTACGGGTTGATCCAGAAAGTATTCGGGTCTACCGGGTCGCGAACGCTGATATGCCCACTAGTTCCTTCGGTAAACCCTTTCCGCGCAAATACTCTGAAAGCGCCAGCCATGTGCTCAAGCTGCCAGTGTCTCTTCTTATACGGGTCTGCGATTTTCGGGATGCCAGGAAACTCGTAGCCGCCTGTCGATAGGGCCGTCACTCCCGATTTTTCCACAGGCTTTTCGACCACTAGCGGTGTTGCTAGGGTTTCTGATGATTTTGTGATAGTTTGGCTAGGTGCAGCTGTCATGGTGGTAGTTGTCGACATGGTCGTGGTGAAGCCTGTGCTTGGAACACAGAATACTCGTCCTCGCACTTGACTGCAGCGGTGAACTAGACGCGATTTTGCGTATCTTACAATGGAATACGGTCAGCTCGTTTACGACGCTTCTTATCCAGCAGATTATGTCTTGATCGGAGTTGTCTTTACGAAAATGAACATTGCCCTAATTCCAAGCACAACCTGACGTCCTTGACGATCGATCTAATCATGTTGCATTGGGTAATCAACTGCGACTAACTGCTAGCTTCGCTGTGGCCTTCCATCGCGGGATCTACTCCTACCTGCCTTATCATTGTCTCCACTCCAATCGGCGCCCGCTTGACGAAGAGTGATAAGCTTATCCGTATCTCTTCCGGGATTCTCTCCGGGGCCCCGTGTTTATCGCCAAAACCAGGGCCTTCCGGGAAAGCAACAGATTACAAGGTCGGTCGGATGGGGTCCAGTCACCCGCTGTCCTCGCTCTCAGCTTCCTGTTTCACACATGCGTAGGAGAAGCCAGCAACTCGATCTCTGTCTGGCAACCTCGACTTGACCGATGTCTTCTCCGAGGTCTGCGACGTATCTTGCCCGAAGACGGACCAAGACTTTCACTGGTTGCTGGACATGCCGCTCAAGAAAAGTCAAGTGCGACGAGGGCAAACCACACTGTTCTCCGTGCAAAGTACGGGGACTTGACTGCCAAGGTTATGGTGTTCGGCTTCAATGGCTGCATCCTGAGACTACGGTCCCATCAGATCTGAACTTGTCTGATATCGAACTGGCCAACGATGTATCAGCCTCCAGATCTCGGAGGCGACAAGTTCCAATTTGTAGGCTTTCTGATCACCGTAAACACTCTTATACGTTGTACTAAGAATTACGTAGCACTCACTCAACAAGTTCTGACATGGAGTCAAGTCGAGGGGATCCTTAAACTCATTGACTCTGTGGAACCATCGTCAGCAACCAGCTTAAGCGATGACGTGGGTATTCACGTACAGAATTTCGGAGTGTTTCATGCAGGAAAACCATCGTCTATCGATTCTCGGAACCCTGCCGGCACTTTCCTTCTGCAAGATACTTTGACGACAACCGAGACTTGCGATGAAGAGTCTGAACGAATGTTGGGTACTGACCTGGCTCTTTACACTTCCTCTCCAAGTGTGCCAAATCCTGAGAGACAGCAGTTATTGCCATCGCCTTCATACTCCGAAGCTGAAGTAGCTTGGGAGTTGTGCAATCTGCATGTGCAAGGGCCTTCGGAGACGGAGGTAGATAGTCTATGCCCAGGCTTTGCCGAAGACCATTCAGACAACCTTCAAGACGAGGGAGCCGCTGACAGAGTCTCGTCTTCTTCATCAAGACATCAGCGTTGGCCCGGGATAAGCGTCTCCACGGAAATTTCAAGGCCACCGATGGCAGTCATCTCTGAGAGAGAGCGATTTCTCATGCATCACTACATGCATAGAGTCGTCAACATATTTTGTGTCATCGACAATGCAAAGAGTCCTTGGAAGACAATACATCTGCCTCGAGCTATTCAGGGTGCCGGTGAGCTGAGTGTGATGGGCGCAACATCTAGGATCCGCAATGCCCTGCGAAACGCGCTGCTCTCTATAAGTGCCTACTACCTCTCAAACGTTCAGGTATCAGAAAATAGGCTGGAAGTGAAGTTGAAGTGGGTGGAGGCAGCCACTCTCTATCGTTATAACGCCATTGGATTACTCAAACAAGCGGTAGAAGTTGACCTCCACGCGCCAGAAAGACCGAAGTATAAGGAGTTTCTAGCAACAATGTTGTCAATGATAACAATAAACGTAAGCTATAATTTCGTTCCGTTGTCTCGGGGCAAGCATACAAGAGTATCGCACCACCTCTGCATGGGGATTGAAGCTTATGATCACCTATCGGTACACGTCATATCCCCTGTATTCTCTTCAGACCTTGCTCAAAATCGATCAAGTCTCTCTGTATCTCACTGACACCTAGGCTAGGTTATGTCAGGAGACACAAGCACTTGTGGTGTTCATCTAGACGGCGCTCAACAGTTGATCATCCACATGGGGAAGGGAAAGCCTAGGCTGTCTTCAAAGTCTCGAGCTTTGCATAGGATCTACTATTACCTTCGAGTCATTTACGAAAGTACCGCTCCCCTACGAAGTCCCACATGTCGCTTTTCGCCATCTTCCGGAGGAGGTGTTTTTCATATGCCCCATTCTCCAGGCCAACAAGTCTCCACCAGTACTTTCCCTTTCCCAGACGAGGATGCAATATCTTTGTGCTCTGAGCCTGTACAAGCAGCAAGCAAGATGGCATCATATGAATGTATCTATGGAATCCCACAGAGCTTACTCGTTTTGCTTCAAAGAACCATTGATCTGATTGATAGGGTCGATGCGGCGAGGAAGAATCACAGCATCACATTGATACCAAAAGATTTGGACAGAATGTGCGATGATATTGAAAGAGATATCTTCGACTGGCCACTCGACTTGGAACTCACTCGGTATCGAGATGCCGACATTGGCACGAGCTTTGAGATCATCTATCACCAAACACATTCATTTCACAACGCTCTCATTATCTACTTCTCCCAGAATGTCAGACTACTCAGCCATAGGTATCTCCGCCAGTATGTGACGGAGGTTCTCCATGACATTGAGACAATCGAGAATATCAAGACCGAGAGCAAGCTACTTGCTGCACCCCTCTTCTGGCCGGCTTTCATGGCGGCAACGGAAGCTCATGATCAGCGTCTTCAAGACCGTTTTCGCCAATGGTATACTAAAGTTGCGGTTTACGGCATCAAAGCGGTGAGAACAGGAACTCAAGTTGTATATGAAGCGTGGAGACGGGGGCCCTCGTCTGATGGTCGTGTGACGAGCCAATGGCGTACGGTAGTGGAGGAAACAGGGACGACTTTGATGCTGACATGATCCCTGGAACATCGAGGGAGAACTTCTAACTCCCAGAGGCTGATATGACCTAGTGCTTGAAGCGAATATCCTTACGGTTACTACCCTCGTCTTTCGTCGTCTCGAGGTAGTGAATCCTCTCCTGGAGGCCACCGTTAGCAATGGACCCTACAGGGGACTGTTAGGAAGCTTACCTCTTCCGTCATTGCATTCCATTCTTTTTCCCTTTTATTGTTACACCACATATAGAATGCCTTAGCGATTAGATAAACGCAGATGTTCATGCAGCATATTCCGATCAAAACCCGGTTGCCACGTCGGTCTTCATTATTGCATATCTTGTCAGCCTTCCACGACAGGTATGAAGCTATGCCACGGCACTCACATTCTGGTCTATCGTCTTCCCGGTAAATATTCGAGTAGATGACGCGAGCAAGCTGAACCATCATGCTGGCAACGTAGACCCATTAGCTAGACATTCGTAACTCAGCAGAATTTGGTGCTGACTTACTTATACAAAGCCGCGGAAACGGCTCTGGTACGAACAGAGTGAGAATTTCGAGACGCCCAAGAGACGTGCATGGCATGGGCTGGTAACGTCAGATCAAGTCACTTCTTGGTTCTCAAAAGAACCTAGACTTACGCGATGGATAGGACAGGAGAACAGTGACAACAGCGTACTGGGCCCAGGGACTAGCATCTGCCGGGAGGACGGCCATAGCTATGAGATTCGGAAGGTACCACAGCTGCGTGAAGGCACCAAACAATGCTCTCGTGTCCCATATCTCGGACAGATATGTCATGATCAACATGAAAATAGCTCCCAAGAACTGAGGCGGGATACTCAGCAAATTAGTATCGTTCGTGTTGAATCCAAGGTTGCGGAGAGTCAGTGTGAGATATTGGTCGGGAGGGCCGGCTGGAATTTCCCAGAGAAGACCAAAGATGTAAATGGGCCAAAGCTCCCAGTCAGCGACAGATTTGAGAAGCAGCTTGGGGGTGATTGCCTGCCGATTGTGCATATCACATTTCGAAGGGTCGTCGCGAAGGATTCGATTGACCAGGATCTTCTCTTCCTGTTCGTTGAACCATCCGTTGGGTCGCCACCAAGCCTTTGTCTGCGTTGGTGAAGCCGCCATTGCGAACCAGGACCAGACACTGATTGACAGTGTAATGATCCCTTCAATCAGGAAGAGCCATCTCCAGCCCTCGTAGCCGTTGATCCCATCCATGCGAAGGACACCAAGCGCTAATAGGGGTGCGACGATATCCGTTATTCGACGAACTGTCCAGAACATGGCAAGTCGAAAGGGGAGCTCGGTCGACTTGAAGAAGTACGTCAAGTACAAGACCACGTCGGGAATGAACCCGCCCTGAAGGACACCCAGGAGTGCACGACACACAAGGAAGGAGGTTCGACCACTAAGCCAGAATTGACATCCCGACACCAGACTCCAGGAACACATGATGAAGGGAATCCAGCGGTCCGGGCCGAGCTTCTTACTGACCATCTGGGACGGCAACTCTGCGCAGAGGAAAGATATTTGGAATACTGTGTTGCCGAGGTTGTAGTCGTTGGTGTTCATGCCAAGGTTCTCGAGGAAAGAGGCCGAGTTTGCTTGACTTAGATTACCTCGAGGCAGGTCGAGAGCGAAGAATGCTGTGGTAACGTTAGATCTAAGCATTGGAGTTAATACACCATGTAACACGTACCGAGACACGCCCATAGTGTGACGCGCCAATCCATCTTTGTTATCAGGGGCAGCTCCTCGCCCCAGCTCCATCGGAATGTCGGATCAAAGCGATGCAGATTCTCATACTTTGGATGTGGCTGGAAGAACTTCGCAGTGGAAGGATGGTCGTAGACAGATGGCTGTGTCGCTATCGCACTGGGATCATACCCATTCTTCTTCTTGAAGAAGGACAGAATGGGGATTATGGGAGCATCCTGCTGGCGAAGGTCTGCTTGCTCGCGGAGGATGCGATTCTTCGTTCGCTCGATCTCCTCGTCTGTCGCCTCCAGATTGATCGTGTCGTTGTCTTTCTTGCTCTCGGGCTCTGAGGCCGAGGCCGAGGATTGCTCGACGATTTGCTTCTCGGACATTCTTAGGTGCACACATAGGCTTTTCGAAAGAGGTGATTTCTCGTGCAGTCTCAGCTCGTGCAAAGAATCCTCTTTTCGAAATCGGAAGCAAGGGGGCCGAGGACAGGATATTTGAGGATAGACATGTCCAGATTGACTATAGTAAACACGACTATGGAGTCATTGGCGTGACACTGTTGGCGTAATATTCGTGCCTTACGCGCCTGGATATTCCATCCGTGGTTGACAGATACTTTGCGCGATATTCGATCCCTTCTACCCGGTCATTTGGCAACAATAACGAAAAACAGGGGCAAGACATTGCCAAGTATGCTCAACACTGATAGCTCGACACTTCATGGCAAGATGCCAATGATGTTTCCGTAGACATCACTGCAATTCCCAGCCAAATCCATATCACAGCTGATTCCCTCAAAATTGTGTTCTTGGTAGTGCTTGGCCGTGGCAGTGTTCGCTCCTTGTTGACAGCGAATGAACTATTCGAACCCCGAGGATGGCTACGAGAAGAAGCGACAAAAGAGCAATTGGGAGGGATACCGGGATGATGATGCGATTTACCAAGAGAAAGACGTGCTTTTTTCTGCGATAAGTCTGCAATGACAAGACTACAGGCAGTATTTAGCGGTTGCTTGGTAGTCTTGGTACTGCGCCTTGGCAACTTTGTTCGGGAGGCGAGCGCTGCTTTTATATTGAGCGGTGCCGATTTCGCAATTTGGTTGGAGCATGATGAAATTCGTTCGAGGTTTATTCCACGCTGAAAATCTTGTTGTTAGGAAAAGTACCTCGTGAGATTTCTTCCCTCTAAACTTCACGAACTACAGAGTAATTCCGTCTGGTCACAAAGCTGAAGTTCAGCTTTACCCCTAGCATGTTGGGAGAGCCGGGGCCAGTAGAGACATGGCTAGCCTCTAACCACAAGCAATGAAGGCGCGACTATAGCCTCGGTTTCTCACCATCGAAAAGGCCGCCCAGAAGTCTTAGTTATTTGTCTATTGTCGTGATCTATCTACGTGTATTATAACCCATGCGCTGCATGCGTAGCAATCATTATGCTTCCAAGGATCTGCTCCCGTCTATAACTTCTAATCATCAACACTCCAACATGAATTTAAACCCGACTCCTCACTCTTGACGACTGTTTTCGGACCAGAAGGGAAAACCGGACTGGGACCTGAGAGTTCCATAAAGAGCCGCACCATCTAGGTTCTCGCCACCGTACGCCCTTGCGCTGAGCATGTTGTTTGTCGCAATGTCCAACGCCGGCATCCTGACGCCAAGGTCGTTGGCGACTCGTAGCGCATGTTTCGCGTCCTTGATAGTGTTGGACACAAGGAATCCAGCCGTTCCCTCCTTGGGAGCCCATGATCCGCTGGTCATCCTGCGCGAATAGCTCCCCAATACCGGTCCAAAGTTCTCAAAGATGAGATCTTCCATCACGTTGCAGCCAATACCGTTCTGTTCCGCCAACACCTGCGTCTCGGCAATAGCCTCGAGGAAGACAACGAGAAGCACGTTCCTGCAAAATGCCCTGTCAGCGATCACCGTAGAGTCATGCATGCTTCTTTATGCCACATACCCTGTCACCTTTAGCATGGGGGCTTTCTTGACATCCTCGCCCATGTTGATGACTTTCCTGCCCATCACATCGACAATCAGGGGCTCAAGGCGTTCGATAGCTGCTATGGGGCCGGCCATGGCGAAGATGAGTCTTCCAGCCTGAGCGACCGGGTTGGCGCCAAAGACGGGCGCAGCGATAAAGGTGGCGCCGGCCTTTTGCAGAGTTTCCGATACGGATCCCGCCGTGTCGGGGTGTATTGTGGAGCAGTCGATGAACGTCTTGCCGTTGAGGTCGATGCCGCTTGCGAGGAGTTCCTTAACTAACGATTGAAGAACCGCGTCTGCCGAGACCTGTTTGGTTAGTCAGAAGGCATTCCCCAAGGCAGAACTTTTAGACAAGGTGATGTATCATGTCGAGACTGACCATGGTGAAAATATCGTCGCATATCTGCGCGACCTCTACGATGTTATTCTTCGCAACAGCTCCTGCTTCTACCAGAGCGGCTCCCTTTGATACAGTGCGGTTTGAGAATGTCAGGTTGGCGCCGTGAGATTGAAGCTTCTTTTGCAGGTTGATGGCCATGGGCAAACCCATGGATCCAAGGCCGAACTGCTTCTTAGTTAGTGTATTACTCCAGCAAACTAGAGGTTTTGCTCTTCAGTCCACTTACCCAGCCGACAGGCTTGATTTTCTGCATATTGTGTGAGTTATTGTGTGAGGAAGGTCTAGGTGGGTAGGTGAAAGAGTGGCTTTAGATCCAAGCCAAACGAGGTATCGTGATGATGATTCGAATCAAGGTTGATATTCTCATCAGTATTCACTCATCTTATTTTCTTCCATCGTTTACCGGCCTTTATGTCTGGCTCCTCGAAGTCGTGAAACGCATTTTTGCCTCCTTTGTCGGCTTGCGACCCGACGTAATGCGGCGATGCCGTGAGGCCAACATCTCCGGCGGAGGATAATGGCTCATCGCCTATCAATGATGTGGACAAAAGATAAGCTTCAATCTAAGCTCGAATCGACGGAACCATACCTTTTACTTACAACCTCAATCCTCTTTCTGCTCGAACGCTGATGCGGTGCAGCGATGCCGGCCCGCAATCCGAGAATGGCTGATAAGCATCTCTCGGATGATCCGCCCGGGGCCCACTCCGCACTCTAACAGATCTTGAAGCCCGCTTTCGGAGTCCAGGTCCGAGCATTCGACCCAAGTGTCTTTGGTCTGTTTTAGCACTACCTACATCGAATTTCTTGGCCGATCTTGCTTGCTGTCGGATTACAGACCGAGAAATGGTGTCTTTCGGTAACGATCCGATCTTATCTTTGCATTTACATGAAGGCGGAAGATGTTAGTCAGTTTCGAGGCCGGTCGTTTGAGCTCTTGGAGTATGTATGCGCCCATTAGGCCGTCGATACCTGTCAAATATCATCTCTTTCCAACGACAATGGAAAGATTCATACTTCCATATAGATACTGCTTGATTTCAAAGAAGGGCTTAAGAAGAAGCCACGACGTGACTCGCGCACTTGTCCTGGAAGGGCATTGCTTTGCCTCAGGCGAGTTTGGGTCAACTCGTTCTCTCCACACATCCCATGTGTCCACGTTACCAATTATTGTCTTGGAGTATTCAATCCCATGAGGGCATTTGCTGACCTCTGAATCCAATAAGACTAACCAATGCTCACACACGATTAAACACGGCATGATCTATCCCAAGCCTCGAGCGAACGTTTTCCAATTCTTAGAAGGATAAGTAGTGCTTATTCACACATCATTTCACACCAAGGCGAGCTTGGGGGACCTTATCCCCTGTTGTGGTATTTCGAGAAACCTGCTGGTTGAGACCGGACAAATAATCTTACCTTCCACGAGAAAAAAAGGTACCGAAGGTGACGGAAGGGTGTGAAGTCTACTCGATTTCTTTCTGTCAGGATCAAAGCTTGGGCAGTTTCCACAATCGTGAGCCTTATCTACTCTAATGATATCTTGGAGCTGTTCGCGTAAGATCTATGGTTGCGAGATGAACTTTCAAAGTTGCATTCTATCCCGGTCGTCAAACAGACACCTTTCCAAGCACTTGGCATTATGTTCCCCCACTCACAAAACCTGGCACCATTATCCTTTGCGCGGCATGGCTTCCACGAAGAGGAGCATTAAATGACCAAAACCCCCGATCCTGCACCACTGTATAGTTGTCGATGCTTCATGTTTTGAGCTTTTGTTCTGGATATTATTGATCCAAGTTCTGCTATCAACAATCTTCAAGAGCTTCAAGATGAAATGAGTTTGTATTTTTGGCATCGCCATCGCCTCTCTTGTTGCACAAGGAGCTGCCGCGCCGCGTTCGCAGCAATAACAAAGCACGGCTGCAATTCCTGGCAAATGGATCGTCATTCTCAAGTCAGGCATCGACAAACGCGACGTGGAGCAGCACCTCGATTGGATTCACGGTACTCACAGGCGGAGTTCGTCTTGCCGTCAGACGAGTGGAGTCGAAAGGACATTCGGAATCGGGGATTTTCATGCCTACACTGGCGAGTTTGACGAAGAGCTGTTGGCCGAGATTCAAGCCAAAGATGAGGTACGTTTACCAGACGTGACGAGATAATAATGCGTGACGATGTCCCCATAACTAACCAGAAGACAGGTCATCGCAATTGAGCCTGACCATAAAGCTTCATTGACAGCTCTCACCGAGGTCAGCGACCAGCCTTGGGGTCTAGCCAGCCTCTCCTCTCGAGCAAAACTCGCCAGCGCCGACGTGGATCATCAGACCTACAAGTACGACTCGAGTGCGGGAACAGGCACATTTGCCTACGTTCTCGACTCCGGGATTCGCATTTCCCATCCTGACTTCCAGGGACGCGCGATCAAGGGCACCAACGTTTTCCCCGAAGTTGCTCACGACGACGATTTTGGGCACGGCACGCACGTGGCTGGCACCATTGGATCCGTAAGGTTCGGTGTCGCAAAGAATGCGACCCTTGTCGACGTGAAGACGACCAGGGTTGCTTACCTATGGTACGACGGCCAAGATTATCGAGGCTTTGGAGTGGTCTGTACAGAATATCACCAACACTCCTGCGAGGGCTGGCAAGTCTGTTGTCAGTATGAGTCTAGGTAAGTCGTGTACTCCTTCATTAGAACGCTCGCATCTGACCCAATCCAAGCCACTGCTACATCCACAGCATTGAATGATGCCGTCGACGCAGCCACAGCCTTGGGCGTCTTTGTTGTCGTCGGTGCTGGGAACGATGGAAAGGATGCTTCTACGAGATCACCAGCTAGCGCGCCGACTGCCTTCACCGTTGGTGCGATTGACATTGACAACACTAGAGCTACATGGTCCAACTTTGGGCCATCTGTGGATGTCTTTGCTGCTGGGGTGGATGTGAGATCGACTTCTCTGTACCAGGATGGATTGAGCTTTTATCGGGAACGTCAATGTCAACACCACACATTTCCGGGTTGGCGTTGTATCTCAAGGGACCGGAGGGCTCTTTCGTGGACGCACCGGCGGCGATCGGTGCACGCATCAAGGAGCTTGCTACCAAGGACATGGTTGCCGATTCTGGAGTTGGCAGCCCTAATCTTGTTACATATAATGGGAATGGCCGACGATGAGGGGTTAAACAGTGCTAGCTGGAATATGTTGACCACCGGAGTTGCCTCCGATCAAGGTGAGGGCACAGACCCGAGCCGTCACCGAAGCTCACCTCGGTATGAGTAGTCAGCAAAAGCTCTAGTGTCTTTTCTTCCACCGCCCATTAAACTCAGAAAAGTTCCAGGCAGGATGGTCTAGACCTTTTCAAACACAAAGCAATTGAACGCAAGCGCCGGGCTCCTGCGGGCTTATCTGGGACACCAGCTGCGGCATGACGTCAAACTTCCCTGTCAAGTTGGAAAATCCAAGGCAGAAGACGCCTGGAATTCCGCTGCGATTCGACGCCAGTCCCAACAGAATCGACGGGCCAGCCGTCCATGGATTCATGGGATTGATGGCATGCTGCTAGCGTCGCGCCATTTTCCAGGTTAGGGGCCCCTTTGTTGTCGTAAGAAGCGCATGTCGTTTTGTGTCTGGCCATGCGTTCGAGCTACCGTGTGGAATGCTGCGATCCGGAGATTTGATTTGCTCGCAGTCGCCGCGTCAACCTGCGTTTTGTGTTGCATGAGGAGCAGCGCAGCAGCTACGATGCGTCGTAAGATCCTGTTGGTGAACCAACCGACAGGAGAAGTCGGTGCGTGCATACTGTAGCTCGGCGGTCGGCAATTCAGGACGTATTACTACTTATATGGTTTGGAAGTTACCTCTTCATCAACAGCCTGACGTCTTGTTTCGATCTCTTCTCTCTTCCCTTTTCTCAATCTTTCCTCTTCCCCAAACTCTTGGTCGCCAATTCACCCTGGTCCTACCCCTCCTCGACCCCTCCAAACCCCTTCATCCACTCCTCCGCCAGCCGTCAGCCGCAACGGCACAATCGCCCATCATGGGAGACCAGGAACCGACCCCCGAGAACCACACGATGATGCAGGGCTTCGAGTGGTATGTGCCTGCGGATCAGAAGCACTGGGTCCGCCTCGAGAAGCATGTTCCCCAGCTCAAGCGATTCGGTGTGGATAACATCTGGATCCCGCCAGCGTAAGACGAACCTCAATTGAATTGCGAAGACCAAGACCGACTCAATTGACTCCGGATCTAGGTGCAAGGGATCATCAAAGACTGGAAACGGCTACGACATCTACGATCTGTACGTATTGCGACTCATTTCCTCCCGAGCCGGCGCATCCTGCTAATCATCCTAAAAGCTACGACTTGGGCGAGTTCGACCAGAAGGGATCCGTAGCGACAAAATGGGGCACCAAGGAGGAACTTCTGAAGCTGGCGCACACCGCCAAGGACAACGGCGTCGGCATTTACTGGGACGCCGTCCTCAACCACAAGTTCGCGGCAGACCGCAAGGAGAAGTGTCTCGCTGCCGAGGTCGACTCCGACGACCGCACAAAGTTTGTGAGCGACAAGTACGAGATCGACGCCTGGGTCGGCTACGACTTCCCTGGTCGCAAGGGCAAGTACAGCGAACAGAAATACCATTGGTATCACTTCAGTGGTGTCGACTACAATGCCAGGAACGAGAAGACGGCAATCTACAAGATCTTGGGCGATAAGGGCGACCAGCAATGGGCGGAGAGCGTCGATGACGAGAAGGGAAACTAGTAAGATCAGGCATCCCGTTGGCTGGGTCATAGACCATGCTAATGATGTGTAGCGACTTCCTGATGGGTTCTGATCTCGACTACGACCACCCCGAGGTTGTCAAGGATGTCCTCAACTGGGGCAAGTGGCTGGCCCAGGAGGTGCCGCTCCAGGGCATCCGTTTCGACGCCATCAAGCACTATAGTGAGGACTTTTTGCGTCAATTCATCACCGAGCTGGATAAGGAGTACGGCAAGGGCTGGTTCTTTGTCGGCGAGTTCTGGAAGGACAGTCTCGACGACATGTCCGAGTACCTGCAGCGCATGGGCAGGCAGTTCACCCTCTTCGATGCGCCTCTGGTGTACAACTTTAGCGAGATCAGCAAGGGCAACGGCGCCGACATGAGAAAGGTCTTTGACGGCACTCTGGTGCAGAAGGAGCCCATCAACGCAGTGGTACGCATCACCAGCATCCTCCCTTTACTCCTATTACATTGACCTAATCTAATGGCACGCAGACCTTGGTCATGAACCACGACACGCAACCCTACCAGGCCCTGGAGGCCCCGATCGAGGGCTGGTTCAAGCCCATCGCATACGCCCTCATCCTCCTTCGCACCGACGGATACCCCTGCGTCTGGTACGGCGACATTTACGGCATCAAGGGCGAGCACCCCTTCCCGCCCTCGTGCGGCGGGGCCGTGCCCAAGATGACGCTGGCGAGAAAGCTCTACGCATATGGCAAGCAGGCCGACTACTTTGACTACGCGACGTGCCTGGGCTGGGTCAAGTACGGTACCTGGGACCGCCCCTACGGCTGCGCCGTGGTGGCTAGCAACGCCGGACCGGGATCTAAGCGTATGCATGTTGGTGAGATGCACGCCAGCGAGGTCTGGACCGATGTTTTGGGCTGGAACGACAGGGAGGTTACCATTGGCGACGACGGCTTTGGCGAGTTCGTGTGCTCTGGTACCTCGGTGAGCATCTTTGTCAACAAGAATGCTGACGGCAGGGACAAGTTCAACGAAGAATTGTGAGTATTCATAACTCTTATGGAAGAAACGAATGTGGGCTAACCTTGACAGTGACTCCAACATTTACGAGGAATAGAGTAGATATCATGGAATCAGGCGGGCGGAAGAATTGGACTTTCTAGAATAGCTACCAAGTAGCCGTAGATTTTATGCTTCACAAGTATGTGCTTGATGGAAATACAACAAGTTTAATTACATGGTCGGAAGCAGGAACAATAGTCCTCTTCAGGTTTGCGCCTCCGGGCTCTTCAAGTGCTCTTGCGTTCATGACAGGTATGCCTGTCAACCCTTACGTCTCTTCCGCGCCACAGCACTTGAGATACACACTCCAACAGATCGTAGCCACAGATATCTCTGCAGACAATGCACATGCTCCCCATAGGTGACGGGATGGAGGCTCGCGAGAAGACTGCGGGGAAGCAGGCGGCCGAGAGGTGGGCCCGTAGCCCGGACCCGAAGACAAACCTACTCGTCTCCTCAATATCAGTACCTCATATCTAGTAAGTGCGGGGGCATAGTACGTCAGGCCGGCGGCGCAGGAAGTCCAAGTATCACTCTGATCCTTACTCGGTATGGGCTTTGTGTTTGTCATTGTGGTTTCTATTCTATCCGTGATTATTCTTCTGCGTCCTGACCGGGCCGGACGGAGCTAATCCCCTGGGTACGGCGGGGCGGGGCCGGCCCGGTTAGACGGGACCCACCCGTTTCTCCAAGCACGCAAAGTCGAGCTTGTGCGTTTATGGTAAGAATTTGGCATCTTTTGCATGCGATTGTCGAGCGAGTTCTGGGTGATTACATAACGGGTGTATCTCATGACAAAAACATTGAAGGTTGTATCCTCGGGCGAATCACTAACAGATCATTGAGACTTGTTCTTCAGCTATGACCGCTGTTGCTGCTGACCTGTCGGCGAGAAGGCCAAAATCACTGTGAAGAGTCTTGAACATCGCACTTATCGGACAGAGGGAATTGGGCTCGTTGGTAAAAGCCGAAAGCCGCAACGTGCCCCCTGGACCCTGTGCCTCTTCAGCCTTATTCCAGTGTTGAGGATCCGTAGATTGAATCCCTTTTGTCCGGCACATGATGTTCAAGAAAGCTTAAAAGCCGGGGTATCTGAGGTTTCGGCGACAAGAGGTATGACTTAGATACAGGTCTCGGTTGATATACTTGTGCATCCCCGAAAAGTCCACGACTCAATCCCCGCGTTGTGCACCATTCAGTGGTTCTTTACTCCGTAGCACTCCACAGATGTCTTATCGCCGATGGGAAAAACACGGCAGAGCGGTTCCGCACGTCAGGCATCCCCGCCGTGGGGGCTTCAATTTCATGCTCGAGGCTCCAGCCTCTCTCTCTTCCTCCAAAGCTCCAAGTTCCAACACCATCCGAGATGCCAGGCTCCATCCGTGGATGCCCCCATTCCAAACATCCCCCCACCCCCCCCCCCCCTTGGGCCGAATGCAGTAAGTGAATGCGGAGTAGCTACACTGAGCTTCGATTGGACTGGAAGCTCGCTCCGATCTGCTGTGCTACGCTGACTGCCCACATCCACACAATCCACCCATCAACGACCCCTCCAATTCGAAAGCTCCTATCGTCGGCCTTCCAATGGCCGCCGGCGCATTCGCACACCAGAAGCTGGAGCAAATAGAAAAAGATGCTCTCCTCTCCTCCCCTTCGCCTGCGCATCGCTCGCGATTCCTCTTCACTTGCCAAACCCCTTCTCTCAACTTGTTCATTTCCTTGTCGGTCTCGATTATGTGATACCCCCCTGATCCGACAACGCCACCTCAACCTCGACCCTCACGCGAAAAGACCACGCCAAAGACACCCAGCGGCGCGTCGCTTCTTCTCATCGACCCCTCACCATCGCCAGTCAAACATTGTCAACAACATCGCCGCAATGTCCGATCTCTCCGTTGAGCTGACGGCCCCCAACGGCGTCAAGTACACCCAGCCCACCGGCCTTTTCATCAACAATGAGTTTGTCAAATCTGCCAAGGGCGAGCTCATTGACTCGATAGACCCTGCGTGAGTTGTTACTCGATCCCTCATCCCTCATTCTCCCTGTGCATCACATGCGATTCCCTCCTGCTTTGGATGAAGACACTGACAACCTCACCTCCCAGCACCGAAGAAAAGATTGCATCCGTCCAGGCTGCTGAGGTCGAAGACATTGACAAGGCCGTCAAGGCCGCACACGCAGCGCTGAGACACGAGTCCTGGAAGGGCATCTCGGCCACGGATCGTGGCGCCCTCATGTACAAGCTCGCCGATCTGATTGAGCAGCACAAGGAGACTCTTGCTACCATCGATGCATGGGACAATGGTATGCTCGCAATTTTGACATTCTCGCTCCCGCTCTACCCCTAGGCCAGATGGAGAACTGACGCAACCTACAGGCAAGACGTACGCCGATGCCCTCGAGATTGACCTCTCCGAGTGCGTCACCGTCATCCGCTACTACGCCGGCTGGGCCGACAAGACCTACGGCCAGACCATCACCAGCATCCCCCAAAAGTTCGCCTACACCCTTCGTCAGCCCATTGGCGTCGTCGCCCAAGTGTAAGCCACCCCCCGCTTCAGACAGCCATGCCCATCCGCGGAAACGAACCAAGACTAATAACAGTCCAGTATCCCCTGGAACTACCCCCTCAGCATGGCCACCTGGAAACTCGGCCCAGCCCTCGCCTGCGGCAACACAGTCGTCCTCAAAGCCGCAGAGCAGACCCCGCTGAGCATCCTCTACCTCGGCACTCTCATCAAGGAAGCCGGCTTCCCCCCGGGCGTCGTCAACTTTGTAAACGGCCTCGGCCGCGTCGCCGGCGGCGCCCTCGTCAGCCACCCTCTCGTCGATAAGGTCGCCTTCACAGGCAGCACAGCCACGGCTCGCGCCATCATGGGCGAGGCCGCCAAGACGCTCAAGAACATCACCCTCGAGACCGGCGGCAAGTCCCCGCTCCTCGTCTTTGGCGACGCCGACCTCGAGCAGGCTGTCAAGTGGTCCCACATGGGCATCATGTCCAACCAGGGCCAGATCTGCACCGCCACCTCCCGCATCCTCGTCCAGGAGGATATTTACGACGAGTTCATCCCCAAGTTCCTCAAGACCCTCAAGGCGACCAGCAAAGTCGGCAGCCAGTGGGACAAGGACACCTACCAGGGACCCCAGGTCTCCAAGGTCCAGTTCGAGCGCGTGCTCGAGTACATCGACATTGGCAAGAACGAGGGCGCCACCCTCGCCGCGGGCGGAGAACCCCTCAACATTGGCGGCAAGGGCAAGGGCTTCTTCGTCGCGCCCACCGTCTTCACAAACGTCACGACGTCGATGCGCGTATGGGGCGAGGAGATTTTCGGGCCCGTCGTGGTGATTGCGCGCTTCAAGACCGAGGAGGAGGCGATCGCGTTGGCGAATAACAGCCAGTACGGGCTCGGCGCCGCGGTTTTCACGCAGAACGTCGAGCGGGCGCACCGTGTTGCGTCCGAGATTGAGGCGGGCATGGTGTGGGTTAACAGCACCCAGGACAGCGACCCGCGCGTGCCGTTTGGAGGTGTCAAGCAGAGTGGTATTGGAAGGGAGTTGGGCGAGGCTGGGTTGGAGGCGTATAGTCAGATCAAGGCTGTCCACGTCAACATGGGCACGAGGCTGTGAAGTGTTTCGAGTAGGTTTTATCAGGAAGATGAAAATGACGCAATCAACAACTTTATGATCATGCTTTTTGTATTCATCGATGCCTCGCACATTCTATGGCTGCAGAACCAAATCATACCGACCTGGCAGCAGCGTCACCCTCTTCCCAGACGCACCCTTCACACCCGCGCCCCCCTCCCTTCTAATCTCAACCGCGCTCTCATCCCTCGGTAACACCAAAGTCCCCTTCGTACTAGTCGGCACAACAACCCTCATCTTCACTTCCCCGCCCTCACGCTTGAACGTAACCTCAATCAACCCATACGGACACTCAAACGTCCCCTCCACAAAATCAAACTCGGCCCTCAACGGCGGCTTGACACTCCACGTCTTATACCCATCCTCCTCGACCCGCACCCCCAACACAGCCTCGTAAAACCACTCGTAAATCGTGCCCAGCATGTCGTGGCACTTACTCCGGCACGCATCCTGCCAAAACTCATTCAGAGTCGTCTCCCCGCGGCGGAGGAAGCGCATGTACGACGGGTGCTCTTCCTGCCGCGCCATCGCCATCACGATATCCGGGCGGTCGACGTCGGTAAAAGTGTTCCAGAGCCACTTGAGCCCGATCTCGCCAGCGCGGATCCGACAGTCTGCCACGTCGTCCAGGAAGGCTTGTTGGACGTCCGCTACGTGCTCTTCCGGGACGAGGCCGAACTGCAGCGCCATAGCCTGCGCGATCATCGTCCGGTCGTGGGTTCCGGGTTCGTCGAGGGAGGTGTAGAAGGCATAAGGGTGTTCCGTCTTGTCGGTGACGAGGAGGTGGCGGTTGTACGTCTCGTAGATGCGGTCAGCCCACGCGCGCCACCTTTTCTCGTCGTTCGCGTAGCCGAGTTCCTTGGCCATTAACTCGACGTTGCGGAGACACTTGTAGTAGATCGCCGTCTCGATGTTGGCCTGGTGGTTCCCAAACGCGATATCGCGGCCCCAATCACCCAATCCGTGCTCGATCAAACCCCCCTGACGTTCCTTTGTCCGGAGATACTCCATATACCGCACACAAGGCTGATACAGCTTCGCAAACGTATGCGTCGAGCCGTAATACTTCTTCAGAATCTCTGGGATCAAGGCAACCGCCCCGCCCCAGGTGATCGTATCGTGCAGCGGACCACACATGTACCGAATCTCTGGCGCCATCGTCGGCACGAGCCCGTCGGACTCCTGCGCGTCTGCGATGTCGTCCAGGATCTTGGAGTGCAGGGCCTCGATGTCGCGGATGTACTGCGTCGCCGGCGCGAGGAGGTGCGTGACTTCCAGCCAGCCGAACTTCTCGATTTGCGGGCAGTCGGTGTGGTAGCTGAACAAGTTGCTGACAAAGGACCAGTAGCACATGTCTATGAGGGCGTTCGCGTCCGGCTTGTCTGTCTTGAGGGTGCCCAGTCTCCGGGAGGCGGAGGAGATGTGCCTGCCGACAACGGAGTGGACGACGGGGAGGTCTTCGCCCGTCTGTAAAGAGACGCCTTCGATTTGGATGTAGCGCGCGCTGGTGAAGCTAAAGTCCGGCTCCCACGTCTCAATGTCGCCTATGCCCGCGAGCGTGATCTTGGAAAAGACCTTTGTTTCAAAGTCTTTGAAAAGGGGGTCCGGCATCAGCACGCGGCCCGTCTCGTCTACGCTCTCGGAGAACTTGACGATGACTTGTGCGCCGGCCGGGCCGCTGACTTGGATGCGAATCATGGTGGACATGTTTTGCCCCAGGTCAAACGTCACGACACCCCTCTCCAACGTCTTCTTCGAAACCGGCTCGACCGTCTCGTGAAGTATGACCGGCGGCTGGCTCTGGTACCTCAGTTTTCCCCTCGGCCCGGTCACAGGCGTCGAAGCAATCCACTCCCCGTCATCGAAGCCGGACGTATCCCACCCATTAGGATACGCCCGCAAATCCTTATCCTCGGACGCGTAGATATTCGCCAACGTGGTAGCGCTCTTCCTCGTCTTCCAATCCGGTCCCGAAATCACCGTCTCCCGACTCCCATCCTCATAGAACAAATGCAGCTCCGCAAAGAAGCATAACTCGTTACCGTACCGCACGTACGTGTTATCCTCGTACATGGGCCAAAAGAAGCGATCGTCGCCGCCCTTATCACCGGCGTAGAACCCGTTGCCCACGTGCGCGCCGACAACGTTGTCTCCCTGCGTCAGCGCATCGCTGAGGTCGTAGGCGACGAACTGTACCGTGCGGTGGTAATTTGTCCAGCCTGGGTCGAGGACATGCGTCGACGCGGGAGCGCCGTTGCAGGAGAGGTTAAAGTGGCCCAGACCGGAGGCGAAGGCGATGGCGCGGGAGGGTTTGCGGGGGAGGTGGAGGTGTTTGCGGAGGTAGAAGGGTTTGTCGCTGCTGTCGCCGATCCAGACTCCTTTCCAGCGGTTTGCTTCGTCTTCGAACCAGGTGCGGAAGATGAGGCTGGTATGGGGCATCTGTTTTCGTTCGTGTTAGAAGTCAGCAAGGTGCTGTTATTATGTTCTGGAACGATAACATGTGCTGGACGGACATACGTAGGTTTGGTTCATGCTGTACGGCGGCAAAAGTCTGCTTGATCTTGGATACGCCGTAAAGAACTCGTTGACGCCGCTTGACGAAGCCTGTCCGTCCTGGTCCCAGACGGTCACTTTCCAGAAGTGGAATGACGCGGACTTGAAGCCGCCATCCGGCTTGCAGAGAATGTTTCTCTGGGCATTGCTTTCGACTTTGGCCGAGTCCCAGACGACTTGAGAGCTTGAACCATCATCGAGTGCTGTTGCGTTTAAAGCAACGACGATACGGTAGGCACTTTGGGAAGCGTGTTCGAGCTCAGAGTGAACCACCCAGTAGAACCGGATCTCATCAACGTCGATGCCCAGGGTTTCGTGAAAGGCATGAATGCCACAGCGCGTCACTTCCATTACGCTAGCGCGACGATTGTCAAGGGAGTAAGGCTCCAGGGTAACCTCCGCAGCTTCGGTCGAAAAGAAAGTGAAAGCAGCCTTCTACGGATAGTAACCTAGAAAAGTACTCGGTTCCCGGCAAGTCTTTAGAGAAGAGAGCTTCATGGGTACATGTAACTTCTGTAATCTCTATTCTGTTTCGGGCATGTTCCGCATGCTGTGGCCCCCCATTCGAAAAGGTTGTGGTCAGATAACTCGGGGTAGTTAAGTCAACAATGAACCGAAATGACCGAAGTTCGGTGCGTTGTTCTCTCGAAAAGAGTGGCAACTCTGGAGCTTTTGTAACAGACCTCCTCTTGGATCCAGTATAGTCTATAGAGCACCCGGCGGGCTGGTACCATGAACCTCGGATCTTTACGCCGAGTCTTTCTGGCCAAGGGATCAGGGCCATGTGCCGGTGGAGACCCGGCCTTCGGTACTTGGATAGTGAGTATTGGCACCGAGATGTCGCCGGGGTGGGGTAAAGGCATTGTCGCCGAATCACAAGTCCTGACACGTTTGGGTTGGTGTCGATCTGATGCCTTGTGGCTCGGAATTACCGACTGTGAAACGGCTTTTTAGACCGGGTTTCCCGAGTGAGCCACACATTTATTTGGGGTTAGTCCAGCAGAGGTCTCTACCCAGAGTGCTAGGCGTGTCGCCGTGTCGTTGTTGTCTGTAACCGTCTCCGACAGAAATTCCCATCGCCAGTGGTTCGTACTTTGAGCAACTTCACTGGCTTCAATGGTCGATCTAGAAACTTGACATGAGAATTCTCCATGAGGAACCCCCACCGTGCCGGCTCCGGACCAGGGTCGCCACTTACCGGGCCCCTTTGAGCCTCGAACATCAACGGCCTCATCAAGTGCGGTACACGTATCCGTAGTAGCTGCCAGCGACCGTAGTGCACAACATGCCTAGTGGCTGCCCAAAAGAATCCGTACTGAACACGCCACCGACCACACTCGGTGATGTCGGGTTAAAGATGCAGCTTTGTCTGGGGTTTGCTGGGTTCGTGCGGAGGCCCCAGATTCCAAAGACAGCACATTCAGGGGGGGATCGGCCAGGTTCAGTACCGTTCAGATGCTGCCAAGACCCACTGGATGACACCTCGATCTCGTCCATTGGATGAACAGGGACATTCGCCGGTGGGAGTTGAAAGCTGACAAGTCCGTTACTGGATGTTGGTCATGTTTGTTGACCTCCAGTTGTATTTTAACCTTAATACATCTCCCGGGTTTCTGCCCCCAAGGACGACATCCGTTCTTGAATCCTCGTTTGTCTCTCATTGACAGCTGGACTGTTAACAATATACGGCAATCATGGGTCGCCTCACGACGGTGTTGTCCGCCGTTTTCCTGGCCATCGGAGGTTTCCTCTTTGGCTATGACTCCGGTATCATCACCTCGACGATCGCTCTAGATTCGTTTGAAAAGTATTTCCGTCACCCATCAGATACCGTCGCCGGCGGCATCGTGTCAGCCTTTCAAGGCGGTGCCATCCTCGGCACCATCATCAACATGCTCTTCGCCAACAAGATCGGTCGGCGTAACACCATCTTTGTCGGGTCCGTGATTTCGTGTCTCGGCTCGGCTCTCCAGGCCGGTGCCGTCAACATGGTCATGCTGATCATTGGCCGCTTCATCGGCGGTGCCGCCGTCGGCATGGTCACTTCGACGATTCCCATGTACGCCTCTGAGCTGTCGGAAGCCAAGTACCGCGGTATCTTGTCCGGTTTGCTGCAGTGGATGTTGAGTTGGGGATTCTTGGTTGCACAGTGGCTTGGATACGGATGCTCCTTTGTCAAGACTGACTTTTCTTGTAAGCCTCTCTTCTCCTACCCGGGTCTCTTAGTGCCTTAGCCCTCAGAGATAGTGGAATACTACCTTTGACGAAGATTAAGACTAACTACGGGATAGGGCGCTTCCCACTCGCCTTCCAGGCTGTGCCCGGTGTCATCCTCGTCACCGGCATCTACTTCCTCCAAGAGTCTCCCCGTTGGCTGATGGAGCGAGACCGTCACGAAGATGCCCGTCGATCACTCGGCAAACTCCGAAGCGGCCTGGACGAGGAAACCATCGACCTCGAGTTCCGCGAGATTCGCGATGTCATCTTGGCTGACCGCGCCCTTGGTAATATCTCGTGGAAGTCCATCATCACAAAGCCTTCGTGGCGCAAGCGTCTTTTGTTGGGATGTGGTGTACAAGCCTTTGGGCCCCTCTCAGGTAAGCGTGCCATTTACCCAAAGAAGAATTACGTCGAAGCATAGGACTAATACCTGTGCCAACAGGTATCAACGTGATCAACTACTATGGACCTCGCATCTACAAGATCCTCGGCATCGATACCCAAACCTCTCTAATGATTATCGGCATCAGCGGTGCTCTTTCAATCGTCTACTGCAGCATTGGCCTGTGGCTCCTCGACCGTGTCGGTAGAGTGAAGCCCCTGATCGTCTCTGCGGCCGGTCTCGGCGCTGCCCTGCTCGTCAATGCAGTACAGGCTCAATATCTCAACGAGAATAACGCCAACCAGTTGCGCAGTATGGTGGCCATGAACTTCGTCTTCAGCATGTTCTACACCCCGCTGGGCATTATCAGTTGGGTGTACCCTGCCGAAATCTTCCCTGTCGAAGTCAGAGCGCTCGGAAACGCTATCACCACCTTCACCAACTGGACCGTCAACCTTATCTTTGCCCAGATCTCCCCGGAGGCCCTGACTAATATTGGCTTCCGCTACTTCTACGTCTTCTTCGTTTTCAATCTCATCGCCATGATTTGCTACATCTTCTTCTTCCCGGAGACCAAGGGCAGAACGCTTGAGCAGATGGATGAGCTCTTTGGGGACCAGCTGGTGCCTCATGCTATGCAGGATTCTGTTGGAGCTGCTGCTGCTGTCGCCAAGGACGAGAAGCTTGTAGAGCAGCTTGATCACGTCTAAGCATGCCATCGAAGACTGTGCGAGCTTTGCGGTATTGGTACTTTCAGGGTTGCAATTCCATTACATGGGTGCTAACAGGGGAGGGGTTGGCCCATGAGAAACATACAGACTGTCGGTTGCGTAGCTAGGGCATGAAGTTTCTCGTATTAATAAGGGAATTCTCAGTGGCACACACTGTTGACCGCATAGCTACATGGACACATTGCAAACTGTGTTCGCGTGACACAAGTAATTACCAAAGTGACAGAGTATGGCATCAAATCCAGACGGAAACATTCGCGTCCGTCTGGACCGAGTCGTCCCAAATAATTACATATACCTAGCATTGTCATACGTAGGCCAACGCCAAAGCCTTAGTAGCCTAGACCACATTGTTCGCCAATCTAGGCCTAGTGCCTTGTTGTGTCGATCTGGCTGACAGGATTCAAAAGTCCGTTTCCAGACCATGCCCGACTAGGCAAACAAACTGGTCCGGACATAAGTCAGCAGATAGAAACGTGAATTATCAGAAACAATAACCATTTCTTCAAAGGGAGCAGTAACATGGCTATAAAAGTTTTGTGGTCGCCGAGCAGTCTTCATGGTTCTATCTCTTCCATTGGCACCTCAATTACTGAATTTCACGTATCAGCCAATCCAGGCAACCTCAGTTTCGCAATCCCTCGGCACTAATATCACGATGGTCGGCTCTAAAGACCTCCCTCCATCAACTCTCTCCTTCGGGCGCGTCTTCTACAACAATCAATTCTGTGCGAAGCCGCAATGGCCGGCCCCGGGCACCAGTCTTTCCGGCAAAACCGCGATTATCACGGGCGGGAACACAGGTCTAGGCTTTGAAGCCGCCCTTCAACTGTTAGATCTCGAGTTGTCCCGCTTGATCCTAGCTGTGCGCTCACTCCAGCGAGGCGAAGAAGCCGCCACGAAGCTTCGTCGCCGATATCCTACTGCAACTATCAGCGTGCAACTTCTCGATATGACGTCTTACGAGTCTGTCCAAGATTTTGTGCGTCGCATTGACAACGAGGTGGATCGCATCGACATCGCCCTTCTCAATGCCGGAGCGATACGGATGGCCTTTACCAAAGTCCCTAGCACTGGTCATGAGGAGACAATTCAAGTCAACTACCTGTCAACTATGCTCCTCGCCCTACTTCTTCTCCCTGTTCTGAAGGCCAAACGTCAGAAGAATGGCGGCCCCGCGCGTCTTACAATCGTCAGCGCAGCTTTAACGTTGGCAGCCGCGTTTCCCAATAGAGCTGCCGACCCTCTCCTCCCATCCTTTGATGATCCCGAAGTCTTCGCCATCCACGGCCGGGAAGCCTATAATACTTCGAAGCTGCTCGCTCACATGTTTCTCTGGAAACTGGTAGATTATGTTTCGGCTGACGATGTAATTGTCAACCTCGCAGATCCGGCGTGGTGCAAAGGCACAAACCTAGCCCGAGATGCACAGGGCATCATGAAGTTGGGAGTCGTGGTATTTGGGACAACGACTGGACGAACGCCACGAGTAGGTGCCTCTTGCTTTGTTGATGCCATTGTCAACAAAGGCAAAGAGTCTCATGGGTGTTTCCTTATGAGCTGGAAAATTCATCCGTACGTTCGTTTGTCTCAAACGCGAGTTCCCTCATTGTACCAGACCACTAATAAGCTCTAGGTTTGCTGCGTTTCTCTATACCTCCGAGGGCATCACTGTTACAGATCGTCTTTGGGAAGAGACACTACAAGAGCTTGACTTTGCAGGCGTTCGATCCATCTTGAAAGCGTCGTAGATCGAACTTGGGCTCCCCAAACTTCTTCCGGAAGCTATGTTATCCCGTGTTGTCGTGGCTGAGAGTGCGCGAGTGCGCAACTTAGGTACTCTAGTGTAAGACGATGCCAGCCAGCCAGCCTGCACGTACGATACCGTCCTACGGTATAGACCCGGGCTGCTTTTTGCCGATCTTTACCATTTCTGCCTCATTTCTTCGTAGCAGATTTCTTTTGCTCTTAGTCGCGCACGCATCAGAATTGAACTTAGATTCCTAACCGAAATTGAC